CCAATAAACTCTACCAGGGAACTCCTACAGCTGATAAACACCTTCAGCAAACTAGCAGGATACAAGATAAACTAAAAAAAAAAAATTCAGTAGCCCTACTTTTTTCAGACGACAAAGAGACAGAGAAAGAAATCAGAGAAACATTACCCTTTACAATAGCCACAAGCAACATAAAGTATCTTGGTGTAAGGCTTACCAAACAAGTAAAAGGCCTATATAATAAGAACTTTGTGGCTCTAAAGAAAGAAATTAAAGAAGATACCAGAAAATGGAAAGATCTCCAACGCTCTTGGATAGGTAGGGTAAACATAGTAAAAATGGCAATCTTGCCAAAAGCAATGTACAGACTCAATGCAATCCCCCATTAAAATCCCACCACAATTCTTCATTGACATTGAAAGGATAATAATAATCAACTTTATATGGAAAAACAAAAGAGCCAGGATAGCCAAAACAACCCTAAACAATAAAAGAACTTCAAGAGGCATCACCATTATTCCTGACTTTAAGCTCTACTACTGAGCTATAGTTCTGAAAACAGCCTGTTACTGGCACAAAAATAGACAGGTAGACCAATGGAATCGAATTGAAAATCCTGATATTAACCCACACACCTATGAACACCTGATTTTTGACAAAACAGCTAAAAGAATACAATGGGGCGAGGACAGTATCTTCAACAAATGGTGCTGGCACAATTGGATGAGGGTGTGTAGAAGACTGCAGATAGACCCATGTCTGTTGCCATGCACAAAACTCAAGTCCAAATGGATCAAAGACCTCAACATCAATCCAGCCACATTGAACCTCTTAGAAGAGAAAGTAGGAGGTACTCTTGAACAAATTGGTATAGGAGACTGCTTCCTGAACATAACTCCAGGGGCACAGACACTGAGAGAAACAATTAATAAATGGGACCTCTTCAAACTTAGAAGCTTCTGTAAGGCAAAGGACATAGTGGACAAGACCAAACGGCAGCCCACAGACTGGGAAAAGATTTTTACCAATCCTATATCCGACAAAGGGCTGATCTCCAAAATATACAAAGAACTCAAGAAACTAGTCAACAAAACACCAAATAACCTTATTAAAAAATGGGGTACAGAACTGAAGAAAGAATTCTCAATAGAGGAAATCAAAAAGGCTGAAAGACACTTAAGAAAATGCTCCACATCCTTAGATATCAGGGAAATGCAAATCAAAACAACTTTGAGATACCATCTTACCCCTGCCAGAATGGCTAAAATTAGAAACACCAATGATGACTCATGTTGGAGAGGATGTGGAGAAAGGGGAACACTCCTTCACTGCTGGTGGGAGTGCAAATTCGTACAGCCATTTTGGAGATTAGTATGGCGGTTCCTCAGGAAAATGGGAATTAGTTTACCACAGGACCTGGCAATCCCCCTCTTAGGCATATATCCAAATGACTCACATCCATGCAACAAAGACATCTGTTCAACTATGTTCATAGCAGCAGTATTTGTAATAGCAAGAACCTGGAAGCAACCTAGATGCCCCTCAATTGAAGAATGGTTAATGAAGATGTGGCACATCTACACAATGGAATACTACTTTGCAGAAAAAAATAATGGAATCTTGAAATTCACAGGCAAGTGGATGGCACTTGAAGAAACCATCCTGAATGAGGTAACCCAGTCACAAAAAGAGGAACACAGTATGTACTCACTCATATATGGATTTTGGACCTAGATCAAAGGATCACCAGCCTGTAATTCACATCACCAGAGGAACTAGGATACAAGGTGTACTCTAAGAGATTCATATAAAGTCCCTCACAGAACTGGGAAGGGACAAGTCCCCCAGAGCTCAGGGGAAGTGGGGGGGCAGCGAATGGGGAGAGAAGTAGGAGAAAATGAGGGGGAGGAAAGGAAAACGTGTGACCAGGAAGATTGAGCCTGGTTAGGAATAGAAGACAGGAGAGAGAGAGAGAGAGAGAGAGAGAGAGAGAGAGAGAGAGAGAGAGAGAGAGAGAGAGAGAGAGAGCATAAAAGAGGGAGCCAATATTGGTTTGAAGATAAAATTGAATACAAAGAAAGGTCTAGAGAACTACAAGACTGCTGCCAACTAACAATTTGAGCTTCCGTGGAAAGGCTACCATAAATGCCCTTCCTGGAGAGTGAGATCAACAACTAACTTCTCCACGGAGCCCTCAACTAATGCCTGTTGGAAACAGGAGCAAACACCCATACATAAACACTGAGTGGAAGTAGAACTCAGATGCAGATGGAGAGGACAAGACCAGGCAGCAGAAACACATAGAGACAGCTTACATGAACAAGGAGGAGCTAACAGGCCACCAGACTGATAGCTGGGAAGCCAGCATGGGACTGACTCAGGCCCCCCTGAATATGGGTCTCAGCCAGAAGGACTGAGCAGTCTAAGGGACCTCAGACAGTGGAGCCAGGATGTATTCCTGGTGCACAAAAGGACTTTGTGAACACATCCCCCATGGAGGGTTAACTGCCTTAATCTAGAGACAGGAGAGAAGCCCTAGTCCCTACTTCACATGACCTGTCAGACCTACATGACCCCAACACTGTATGGCATTCCCCTACATATGGGATTGGGGTGGTGGGATGGGAGGGTGGTTAGAGTGCATGTGAGAGGGCAGAGAGGGTAAAAGGGAGGGAAGAAGGGAGGGAGGAAAGGAGGGAGGGAGGGAGGGAGGGAGAGGGAACTGGGATTGACATGTAAAATAATAAATTAATTAAAAAAATTGCTTTGACTCCAAAATTTAAGTTCAAGGACAAGTTACTGGGGAAAAGGATTTATATTTTTGTTTCCACAGAAAATGAAAATATGTGGATTCCTTCCAGACTAATGTGGTTTGATCATGCCAGACCACCTGAAACAGAGTACCAGGTGATCCTACATTCAAAACAGCTGGACAAAGCAGCCTTACAGACTACAGCCAGGATTCTGAATCTTCTTCGAATCCCCCATGACAGCGCCCCTTACCAGCAGGAAGTAGTTTGGAAAGAACAACGCCCAAGTTCCCAAATATTGTCTATAAATGTTTGTTTTCATTTAAATGGACTTGGATATATATATATATATATATATCAAAAACATGAAGTCCTATAGTACCAGGCAGGAATAAACAAGTTTAATTTTCCTGGCTATTACTTAGCAAAACTGTGTCTGTCTGTCTGTCTACCACCTACCTTTTTTTTTTTTCCTCCTCGACAGGTTTTCTCTGTGCAGCTCTAGCTACTGTCCTGGAACTCACTCTGTTGACCAGGCTGGCCTCACACTTGGAGAACCCTGCTTCGGTCTCCTGAGTGCTGGGATTAAAGGTGTGTACCACCACTGCCCAGTTCTTCTATCTGTGAAATAAGAAGTCTTTTCTATTTATTTATTATGTGTAGGGATGCACCCACACACCATGGTGTGTATATAGAGGTCAGAGAACAACTTGCAATAATTAGTTCTGGTATTGAATTCAGGGTTGTCAGGTTCGGTGGAAAGCACCTTTACCAACACCATGTGACAGATTTAAAAGATATCTTTGTGTGTGTATGTGCGTACATGTAGCCCACAAGTCACATTGGGTTTCTTCTCCTCTTTCCATCTTATTTCCTGAGGCAGTCTCTCACTGAACCTGGAGGTCATCAACAGTTGGGATGGCGGCCTCACAATATTTAGCAATCTCTTCGTCCTCTCCTGCAGCACTGGAGTTATTGATATACACTGCCATCCTCAGCTTTTATGAGGGTTCTGGGGATACAAACTATCATGCTTGCACGAAGGACACTTTACCAACTGAGCCATCATTTCAGTTCCTGTGCTAGGTTTTGTACAGAATATATATTTTATCTGGAAATAAGATATATCTACACACATGTTATCTTTTATATGCAATAGTTACATATAATGTATTCACATGCTGGAGAAAACTACATATCTTTATATAGAAATTATATATATATGAGCAAAGAAACTCAGTACGAGCAGGCTTCTAGGGAAACAACTTCTGACATGGTGAGAGTGAAGTTGAACTTTGAAGAAAAACCATTTAAAAATCTGGCTCCATGCAGTATGGGCTGTAGAAGCCTGGTGACCCAAATTGAATCCCTAGAATGGTAACAAAAGCTGGACATAGTGGTGATCGTGTAATTTGAACAACCCTATGGGGAGGTGGTAGGATGCAGCACAGTAGCAGAAACAACAGACACTGCCTCCAAACAGATTAGGAAGAACCGACTTCCCATCGGTTGCTCTCTGAGCAGTACATATGTGGTGACAGAGTGGGACTCCCTGACCCAGAATTAGGTCGTTTCAGCTCTCAGAAAGCACAAATGACTGCAAACAACAGGATGAATAGGAAGCCTTCTGGGACACAGTGGATTCAGCAGAGCCCTAAAAGCTATTTGAAAGAATTGAATGGATTTGGTCTGCAACCGAGCAGGGCGTCATGACATATTTGTCATTGCGGAGTCAGAACTATCCTCCAGATATCGTACACTGAAAAAAATGGCCAAGCGCTACTACTTGCTCTAATGTACTGTCAGTTAGAGACAGTATGTTACAGAGCTGGTCAGGGCGCATCCTGGCATGCCCCAAGCCTGGGTTTAATGCCTAGAACTGGAATAACAAAGCAATCACAGAAAGTGCATTCAGCTGGCATGTTTGCTGTGTACTTCACTTTCGTCTTTTTGGTGAAACAGATTATATTAGACTGTAAAACTAATCTTAGGGGATTATAAAAAGGACTCAAATGTTTGGGACTGTAGTCATTCAATACAACAACTAGGCTATTTCCCACCCTTTAGTGCAGTGGTTCTCAACTTGTGGATCACAGCCTCGTTGGGTGATAGCACATCAGATTTACACTGTAATTCATAACAGTAAGTAACAAAAGAGCAATGAAACGATTTTATGTTGGGGGCCAGCACAGCATGAGGAGCTGTACTAAGGGCTGCAGCAATAGGAAGGCTGAGAGCATTGCTCGGGGTCAAGTGCACTGCACAGCTTACCTTCAGGGGAGCAGACGGCAGGCAGCTCAGCAAGGATGACCAAGGCAGCCGCGACCAGTTTACTTGCTTCCTCCGACAGAGTCTGTGGCTTTGCAGCTTTTACTGCTGGGCCACCTGTCAACTTAGGGTTTAGTTCTGGGAGTTGTCTAACGAGGATGCAGACGCACAGTTCCAGGGTTGCAAAGACCAGTGACTTCCCAGGCACAAGTCCTCCTGTGTCCTTCCCTTCACCAAACTCTGGCAGGGTTTCCTTTTCAGAGGCCCCATCATCAACTAAAAGACAGGGAACAATGCTTGAGAAATGCTGCTTGTTTGGCTTCAAGTAGATGGCAATTTAGTTCATTTCTGGAAGGGCAATCATTTAGTGGCTCAAGTGTTAGGTGTGAAAAGCTGGAGGAAAAAAGCAGTTCTGAAGTTAAAGGTGGCTGTTTTTATTATGACTTCCCGCTGCAATGGATAAAACAAAACAAAAACAATCCTTATAACCCATTCGGCTTTAGAATAGTGCCAACTTGAACTTATCTGTTTGCTGTTACAAATGGGACCCTGATGGCAGTAGCTCCAACAGTGACACTGTCATCTCACGGATTGGCAATGTCTGGGCACTGTGATCAGAACGCAGGTCCCTGATGCCACTGAAAGCTGCACACCTGCTGCCAGTGCCTACCTCTGCACTCCTACTTTTATGTACACATGTCCCCTTTGCCCTTGTTATGACAGTATCAAGACTGCCCAGCTACCCTGAGCAGTACTTCCAAAAGCAACACTGCTGCACTGCGGTGTGCTCAGGCCTGGGTGGTACAGTGCCTGCTAGCATGTAGAAGCCCTCCACTTCATTTCCAGAACTGGAATAAAAGGAGAAGCTATGTCCTTAAGAGTTAGCACTCACCTTCTGCACTTCGTCTTTTTTCCTTCACGTGTTCTTGAGCTGCACAGATGATCTGCCTAACCACTTCAAGTGAAGCCAGCTGAATGGCAGGGGACTCCCGGGTCAAAATTACTCGGTGTAGTACATTCAGCAATTCAATACCCAAGTCCTGTCAGAAAACACAGAGTGGACACTATTGGAAATTACATGTGTATGTGTGTGTGTGTGTGTGTGTGTGTGTGTGTGTGTATGTATATGTGTGTATGTAAAAACAGCAACGCTAAATGCCATGACAAAATTCAGAAAAAGAATTTAATAAATTCTTTTTAAAAAATAAATTTATTGCCAGAGCAATAATGATATATATCAACACTTATTTTTGTTGTAGTCCTGCCAGACCTCAAACTTGAAAAGGATGAACTCAAACTCCTGATTCTCCAGCCTCTGTCCCCACAGTGCTGGAACTTATGGGGTGTATCGCCATGTCTGGCTTGTAATATTTTATCCGATTTCAGAACATTTCTCGGCTCATTTTGGTGGGAGATGGTACTATGACAAAAGACCATTTTCATCCAAGTTTTAAAATGATACTGGAGACATAACCAAGAGAGCATAAAGGCTGACATGTCGATTCCATTACAAATATTAATGTATTCTTGTACTAACAAAGAATGAAGGAGAAGTTATACTAAGAGTGCATCAGATCTCTTGGAGGTGGTTAACTGGATCCTCTACGAGAGGAGCAAGTGTTCCTAAACAATGAGCCACCCCTCCAGCTGCCTCCCTTCTCTTTTTCATTAGTTATTCTGTTTCTTTCTTTCTTCCTTCCTTCTTTCCTTCCTTCTTTTTTTTTTTTTTTTTTTTTTTTTTTTTTTTTTGAGACAGGGTTTCTCTGTGTAGCTTTGGAGCCTGTCCTGGAACTTGCTCCTGGAACTTGCTCTGGTCTTGAACTCACAGATATCTACTTGCCTTTCCCTCCCAAGTGCTGGGATTGAAGGTATGTGCCACCACCACCTGGCACTTTCTTTTATTTTTGAAAAATTTGAGTGAATTTGAGGGTTGGAGAGGGAGAGTTTTTAGGAGGTGCGGAGGACTGGAATTTGGTTCCTAGCACTTATAACTGGGCTGCTCACAACTGCCTAAACCACTAGCTCCAGAAGTTACCTCTGAAGGCTCCCTCAGGAACATGCAAATATACATAGGCACAAGCACATATATATATATATAAACCCCCAAAACAAAAAAACTGTTTGAACTCATGCTGAAATAGCCAGGCATAGAAGCACATGTCTTTCAGAGGTAGAGGTAGGTATATCTCCGAGTTTGAGTCCAGCCTGGTCTACATAATGGGTTCCAAGATGGCCAGGACTATTTAGTGACACCCTGTCTTAAAAAAAATCCCCTCCCACCAGAAAAAAGAAAAAGGAAATAATCATACATAACACAGTTTATAATTTAGTCAATGTCAATTCAACTCAGCTAGAACCCCAACTAATGCTTTAAGCCTAAATAGAGATAGTGCTGATTAAATAAGAACTTAGGAAATCACAGAACTCATTTAAAACCAGCCTTAACGATAAGATAAATCATACGCTCTGCTAAGAGTGCCTCCCTAACCCCCATTTCCTCTAAGAAGTCAGAGGATGTGCCACACTCTGCAGTCATCCTTGTACCATAGCCAGACCAGGAAGAGAACCCAGACAACAGGATATTTTGTAATAGACAAGAGATATACATCAAGTACATTGTCTCTTGGAGGAAATGCAAAGTAAGATAGAGATGAGTGCAAAGTACGGGTTCACAGAAAAGAAATGGTCACTACACAAGAACAATGGCTACTGTGCTGGACACAGCAACGCAGGTGCTTCCAGCATGGAAGAAGGCAGAGAACACTGCTCTGCCACTCCTTCTTTTGTAATCTTTGCTCAGTTCTGTTCGCTGCAGTAACCTGAATACAGTTCTGTCCTATGAAGCCCACAGAAACCTGCTCAGGCTCAGTCCATCACCTGGTCACTGCCAATTTTAGATCTGGGCCAAGGAACATCGAGAAGGGCCTGCAGCGCATGCAGACAAGCGGTGAGGCTCTCCATGGTGGCATCTGAGCGCAGGGAACACAGGAACTCTACACTGATCCCTGGAAAGGCAAAGAAGAGGCTTCTGAGAGTCTCAGTTCAGAGTGCTAGATGCGTCCACTGCCATATGATAAACACAGCAACTTCGCAAAAGATAGTACAGGTAAATAATAATACAGTTCTAGATCTGTGTGTGTGTGTCTGTGTGACATGTAAAGGCTGACCTTGTAAAGGTATGTGTGTGTGTGTATATGTGCATGCATGTAGAGATCAGAAGAGGGTGTTGAATCCTTGGAGCTGGACTTACAGGTGATTATTTTGAGTGGCCTGAAGTTGGTGCTGGGAACTGAACTCAGGTCCTCTGGAAGAGCAGCAACAGCTATTAACCATGTAACCTCCTGATTTTCTTTTTAGGAAGCCATTGGGCATATGTTCTTGAAACCTACAACTTTTGGGAACAATCTATTGAAAACATGCCAGCACATTCCTATTTTTTTTTTAATACCAGGAAATTCGGAACCTTTGAGGCTGTAGAGAAGGCTCAGTGGTTAAGGGCACACATAGCTCTTTTTTTTTTTTTTGTTTGAGACAGGCTTTCTCTGTGGCTTTGTAGCCTGTCCTGGAACTAGCTCTTGTAGACCAGGCTGGCCTTGAACTCACAGAGATCCTCCTGCCTCTGCCTCCTGAGTGCATGTGCCACCAATGCCTGGCTATACACATAGCTCTTTCAGAAGCACTGAGTTCAGCTCCCAGCATCCACACTGGCACTAACACCAGTTCCATGGGACCCAAAGCCTCCTTCTGGCCACAGTGGGCACCTATACTCACATACACATATAGACACAGCAGGCACACACGTATACATATTTAACAGAGCAAACAAAACTATGGAATGCTGGAAGTGGTAGCATACTTCTGTAATGTCAGACTTGGGGGTAAGGCAGGAGTTCCAAGCCAGCCTAGGATACATACTGAGATCCTGCCACAAAACAACGCCCTTCTCCCATCAATCAACCCCCCCCCTCCCCAAGAGCTGAGGACTGAACCCAGAGCCGTGTTTGTAACCTTATAAAATACCTAGTTTCATTAATGATGTCACTAACAACCAGCAAAGAATGAGGTGGCAGTCACCTCACCAGGAGCAGGCAGACAGTAAGGTACAACTCAAGGATAAGCCCTCTAGTACTATAAGCTCTTTTGCTGACCTAAAATCAGATGGAACCTGTCAGTGTAGACATCCTCTGGCGACTTGACTGCAGCCCCAGACGACGATGAGCCCTGACACATGGAAGTCGGAGTTACAGGCCTTGAGAGATTGGCAGCTCCTTCGTCCGGGTCAGTGAAGCCTGTGCTGGTGAGCCACAGTGCTGCGGCGTGCAGGATGAGTGCCCAGGAGCTGTGGTAATGCAGCTTTGCATTTTCGCTGGTCTCTGCTGTGTAGAAAGCACCACCTGCCAGAGGAGGAAGCAGTCAGTGGGCACTGAAGACACAACCTCCCAGTGTGCTCTCTTTCACAGGTAAAGGGTGTTGCTAACCTCAGTTGTTCACAAAGTGCATTCATAACCCCTCTAGGCAGCTCCCACCCCCCAGACCAGTGCTTTCTGACTTTATCAGCACAGAGGTGCTGTCTGTTCCTGGGCTCGACATATATGGACCTTTTCTCTGGTTTGCTTGTCTGTGACTCATCTTACTGTGCCCCACATTGCTGGTCATTTGCTCATGTTGCTAAGCTATCAATATTCTGTTACTAACGTCAGATTTCTCCTGGGGTGATGTCTGTTGGGTGTTGACTTAAGTTTCTGTCCTGCCTGGTCCCACAGCTATTTAGTCCCAAATAAACACACAGACACACAGACACAAACAGACAGACAGACAGACAGACAGACAGATACACACACACACACACACACACACACACACACACGGGGTGGGGGTAGGGGAGAGAGAGGAAAATACAACTAAAAAATTAGAGAAAGGATTGTTAAGATGGCTCTGTGACTTGTCATAAAAGTTGAGGACCTGAATTCAGATCCCCAAACCCATGTAATACTGGATGTGGTAGCTCACACATCTGCAATCCCAGAGCTCCTATGGGGAGACAGGAGACTAAGACAGGAACACAGGAGAACTCCCAGTAACTTGTGGGTCAGCCAGGAGAGATCCTGGCTCAAGGTGGGAAGGTGAGGAACATGTCAACATCTGAGGTTCTACTCTAGCCCTGCACATGTGCCAAGGCGTCTGCCTACACAGAGGTCAGAACACAAATTTCAGGCATCAGCTCACTCCTTTCACTATGGGGTCACAGGAACTAACTCAGGTCATGAGGCTTGGTGGCATTATGCCATCTCGCTGGCCTTGATGTTTAATTCTTTTGTGTGTTTCTATGTGTGTATCATTCCTTAGGTACTAGCCACCTCATGCTTTCCCAGACAGATCTCTCCTCAGCTTGGAACTCCCCAAGTTGGATAGGTGAGTCAGCTTGTGAGCCTCAGGGAATCTGCCTGTGGCTGCCTCCCCAGAGCTGGTGTCAAGTGCTCTGGCCTGGCCTTTTCTATGTGGATTCTTAAAGGCATCAGGTCCCCATGCATACAAGATAAACTCTTTGCTAACTAAGCCTGCTGCTCAGCCCAGTTTCTTCACCTTTAGGCAGTTGACTATAAAATGTTTTAAAACAAACAGTATGCACATGTTTAAAATGAGTACTGACATATATTATCCAGTCCCAAAGTTGACATTAACATTTTGCCTTGTTTTCTTCAACCTCTTCCCTAAGTAGATCAGATAACAAAGAAGTGGTAATAGTGTCAAGATATTCTGAGAGGACACAAAGATTAAGAGTGGCTACCCACTGTCTAACACATACAGCACAGTAATCCTTGTAGTCAGAAGATAGATCCCTACCTCTACTTACAAAATAAGTCTCATTAATGTTCAATTAACAGATAAAGCTACAAAGCTTATAGGTATTTATGATCTTAAGTTAAAAACATTGTCAGGTAATACATAAAATCACAAGCGACTGGCTGTATTAATTAAGCGTGTGTGCGTGCACACACACACGACTGTGAGAAAGTATGTGTAGGACATGTATATGTACCAGAACATACATATGAAGATCTAAGAAGAAGCTGGGAGATGGCTCCGTGGAGCACCTACTATGCAAATATAAGGGCTGGACTTCCATCCCTAGACACAAACAGAAAGGATGCGTGGACGTGGTGGCTGCCTGCAATCTTAGCACTCAAGAGGTGGATTTCTGGGGCAAAGTGGCCAGCTACACCAGCAGAAATGGTGAGTACTAGGTTTAGTATCCTATCTTGTGAGGACAGATGACTATGACCTGGGGAATTAAAAACTTCTGGTTGTCAAAAAAAAAAAAAAAAACCTGTGTCCTTTAATCCCAGGCACAGGCAGGTGAGTCACAGTGAGTTCAAACCTTCTTACCTTCAACAGGAAGTTGGGAGGCAAACTCTGCAGGCAAAGTTAAGAGAGCAAAATCTTGAAGTGCAGCAAGCCAGAGTCTGCTTAGTGTGCCCAGGTCTGCACTGACTAAGTCAAGAAGACCATCAGTCGGAGGGGACCCACTTCTCATACTGTCTTCTGGTTTGATAGCAGTCTTCAAAGTTTGTTTGTGACTTCTATGTCTTTGTACAGCAATAATGTAGACCTGTTAACAGTTTGTAAGTAGAAGAAAAATATTGTGTTTGGTGAAACAATACAATGTTTTCAAGCTTTTCCTCAAGACGTAGGCTTGCCTTTGAGAACATCCAACTTGAAATGCACTGTGGTATCACTAAGGCATATAGGGCTGGAGAGATGGCTCAGCGGTTAAGAGCATTTGCTGCTCTTCCAGAGGTCCTGAGTTCAGGTCTCAACACTCACATCAAGTGGCTCACCGCTGCCTGTAAGGTGAGTGAGCAGATCCCATGGCCTCTTCTGGCATCTACCACATACATTGGCAGCACACACTCAAAACATACTCACAACATATAACTAGTAAAAATTATTAAAGAAAGAAAAAAAGAAGGCATGTATGTATAAACATACAGATTGTAGAAAGATAAAAAAAAATCATCTCTGGGGAGGAAGAAGAGATGGCTTAGCAATTAAAGAGTACTGGCTGCTCTTGCAGAGGACCTGGGTTCAATTCCTAGCACCTGGCACATGGTAACTTACATGTAACTCCAGTACCATAGTATCTGATGCCCTGTTCTGACCCCTACAAACAGGCACGTATACAGTGTACACTTACACATGCAGGCAAAACGTTCATACCCATAAGATAATTAAGTAAATAACTCTAAGAAGAAATAAAAAATAATCCCTTGAGATGTCTCAGAGACCATAAATACTGGAAAACATCCTGCCACTATGTACTTTGATAGCCATGGCAGCTACAAACGACAGAACTCTAGGTTATTCTAATAATTCACCTCACCAGCTAGCTGCAGACAGACAGACATTTTACAACGAACTGTGGGCACTGAAAATACACTTAGCTAAATTACCACCAAACCACTATAAAAAGGTTTACTTAAATAGATTCATGGAGTAAAGAATAACTTTAGTTCTATAACTCTAAAACCTGAAAGAGCTGACTTTGAAACAAAACAAATGAAAACCCTCTGAAATATATATGTTGTGTTAGGTCAAAATAATGGCAAAATTGGAAATTTAAATCAGTTTCTATACACAGCAGAGTATGAACACTCAAATACTTTACTACAGTTATGCTAATATGCTTGATTATAGGGTCCCTGTTATTGCCCTGACTTCTTAAGACAGATACACAGAATACACACTGTATTATTTTTCCCTTAGTCTTGAATTCTAAATGTATCTGACTCCAGGGACTTCAGACAGGGATTAGGGACCTCTATTACACAGAACATGTTGATCAGTTGTTATCTGAGGGGACACTAAGAGAAGGTAATGCATTTAATGAAAAATAAGGAGATTTAAATTACAAATAACACCCTTTGAATAGAAAGTTTTATTTGAAAATGATGTTTTCTTTTTGGTTTTTTTTTTTTTTTTTGTCTTTTAAATACAAGGTTTCTTTATGTAGCCCTGGCTGACCTTGAACTCAGAGAAATCTACCTGCCTCTGCCTCCCAAATGCTTACACAGTTTCTTTAATTCATAACTGTTCCTGCTTGACTCTTTAGACTGCTTGCTCAATGTCAATTAATATATAAAAAAATTCTCGCTTGGAATTCTTTGGTTTACCTTGAAAATGGACTGTTACTTAGTACCATGACACAGTTGGTGATGTTAGCATTTGAGAGGTGGAGGAAAGAGAATCACAATTTCACTGCCAGCCTCAGCTACATGGGAGGACCTTGCCTCAAAAACAAAACAAACAAACAAAAAAGAGAACAAAACACCTCTCCAGCTCCGCAAAAAACAACCAGCAGGGTGTTGGCGGAGCATGCCTTTGATTCCAGCACTTGGGAGGCAGAGGCAGGTGATCTCTCTGTGAGTTCAAGGCCAGCCTGGTCTACAAAGGGAGTTCCAGGACAGCCAGGACTGCATAGAATAACCCTGTCTCCAACCCTCACCCCACCAAAACAAAACAAAACACCCCAAAACCAACCAACCAACCAACCAACCAACCAACCAACCAACCAAAAAAAAACCCCAAAATTTAAGGAAAGCTAGAGAATGGCTGAGAGTTACAGGCCTTACCTATCACACCTGGTTCAATCAAGAACCTGGGTTCAATCCTTGACAAACACATACTAACAAAACCCTCCCCTGCCAAAAGTACTTCTGTATAATTGTATCTGCAACCTGCAGTGTTTATGGTGTCTAATATCTCCCATAATTCCCATGGTCAACGAAGAGCCCCAACCTCTGCCCAGGCTTTCAGCACAGCCAAGATCTCCATGGTGGAAGCACTTTCGTTATACAGGGGGCTGAGGGCTTCTTTTCCAGCCTGTACTTTTGTTAGCGACGAGACAAGCAGCTGATGAACTCTGCGGAGGTCACTGAGGTCACTTACAACTCCACTTGCTATCCACGCACTGCAGACCTGATTTTAAGAAGACCAAAAGTTAGATTTAAAAATTCTGTTGTTCTTCTTAGTGAGTTTAGCAGAGCCCACCCAAATCTCAGGAACCTAGCCACGGAAATAATTTTTTTAAACCATTCATTTTATTTTTTATGTACTTAATGTATTTATGTACATTGATGTTTTGCCTGTATGACAGTGTCAGATCCCCTGGTACTGGAGTTACAGACAGTTGTGAGCTGCTATGAAATGAACCCAGGTCCTCTGGAAGAGCAGACAGTGCTCTTAATCACTGAGCCATCTCCCTAGAAATACTTTTTTTTTTTTAGTGTTTTTCTTCTTTTCTTTTTAAATCTTTTTAGTTTTTAAACCAAGAAGCAGACAAAGACTCAAAAGCCAGGACTTCAAAATTGAACAGAGGGCTGGAGAGATGGCTCAGAGATTAAGAACACTTGCTACTCTTCCAGAGGTCCTGAGTTCAATTTCCAGCAACCATATGGTGGCTCACAACCATCTATAATGAGATCTGGTGCCCTCTAATGGCATATATATGCATAATAAATCTTAAAAAAAAAAAAAAAAAGAACAGAGACTAAGGCTGAAGAAAGAAAACAGTGTCCTTTAGTGTATAAGATGAAGAATGTGAGATATCAATATGCATAAATTAAACTATGCATTAATATGTTTTAAATAGCATTCCAATCTTGAGTATCTTATCTCATTACTTAAAATTAAGAAAACTGTGTGGTTAACTGATATGACTTAGTTAAAAGACAAAGACTTAACATTTAGAACCCACAGAAAGCTGGGTATGGTGGTGCATGCCTTTAGTCTCAGCAGGGATCTTTGTGAGGCTAGCCTTGTCTACATAGCAAGTTCCAGGTCACCCAGAACTATACAGTGAGATCCTGTCTCAAAACAAAACAAAACAAGGTTTTATTTTTATTTTTTTGCAGTGCTAGGGATTGGACCTAGAGTCTCAAGTATGCCAGGCAAGTGTTTTTAACTGAGCTATACTCCTATAAGAAAGATTTTGGTCTTTCTAGTGATGGTTTACTTTTATTTAAAAAACAAATCAAGACTACCACAAAAAGCAGCAATATATATTTGCAATGCAGTGGCTTATGCCTATATCCCTGCAGTAGAGAGGCAGAGGCAATTGGATCAGGAGTTTCAGGACAGATTTGGCTAGTTTAAGGCCAGCCAGGGCTATAACAGTTCCAGTCCCTGAAAAGCAAAAGGGAAGCTAGATATGTTAGTAGATGCCTTTAATTTCAGCACTCAGGAGGCAGAGGCAGGAAGATCTCTGTGAGTTTGAGGCCAGAATGACTACATAGTAAGCCCAAGTCAGTCAGGGCTGCAGAGTGGGATCCTGTTTCTAAACTAACCAACCAACAAACCCACCACAACACAAAACCAAAGGGGTAAAATCTGCCATGCCTAAAGCTTACTACATTTTTAGGGATTCTGTGCTTTTCTAGATGCCATGGTAGCTCTCTTACTAGAGAAAAATATTTTTTGCCCTTGTCCATATACAGCTTTTCTTGGACTTCCTAGTTTTATTTGCAAAGGCAGTAAGTTAGGAAAAGCTGCACTTTCTACTGACAGGGAGTACAAATCCATTCTTGTGACTCTGGGAGGAGGCAGAAAACCACAGTCCTAATCAGTCACCACACAATGGGGGGGCAACTCACTTGCTATGGCCAAGGTGTCCAGGAGCAGTGGCTGGTACTGGAGCACTACATGCATTTTCTAAGTGTTACAGATTTATTGATACAGAACCCTGTTACCATGTCTTTTCTTTTTTTTTTTTTTCCCCCAAGACAGGATTTCTCTGTGTAGCCTTGGTTGTCCTGGAACTCACTCTGTAGACCAGGCTGGCCTCAAAGTCACAGAGATCCACCTTCCCCTGAGTGCTGGGATTAGAGGGGTGAACCACCACACACAGCTGTGGCAGTGTTTGTAATAGGAACAGAAGAAACACTGACAAGCTCACCAATATAAACTATTGTTGTAACAGGGGCTCTCACAGACTGGAACACCATGGGTAAAAAGCAGGGCTGTTCCCAAATGTCAAAAGGAGAGGAAAAAGGCGTGCTGATATGACTGTGTCGGTAAGGAAGAACCTTGAGACTGCAGCTCAGTGTGCAGCGCAGGCTGGCTTTGAACTCACGGAAGCTTCCTGACCCCCACCTCCCCAAGTGCCTGTCTAAGGCTGTCACTTAAGCTGTGACTTTGTATCTACTTACCTGGCAAGCTTTGGCAGTGATATCAGGTGGTGTCTCTGAAGTGAAGGCTGGTCTAAGAGCTGCTCCAACCTGACAAGGAATCACATGATTCAACAAACATCAACAAGGGAGCATGGCTTTAACCTGATGGAAATCATCCATTAGGGATAGGCTTCATGGACCATTATTTCAGTCTGTCCTGTGTGGCAGCACATTCTGCCTCCAGGGAAGCTCCCTCTCTACCCCCCACCCCCAGTCTGCAGAGTTGCTGTGCAGCTAGTAACTGGCTCCAGGGAACCACACCAGGTACTCAAATCTCAAGACTTTTGCTTGTAAAGACCTGAGTGTGGGAAGAATCAACTTGTTACCAATCAGAGAGGTGGGGGGAGGGGTGTTCAGAGTAAAGTCATTGTGGAGAATCCCCCATTTTCTTGCCAAACTGTGTTTTTTTGTGCCTGTAGTTCTGCAAGGGCAGAAACATAAGAGCTTGGCCTGACCAAGCTGTTACAGTATGTTCCAATATGGTGTTTCCATGTACTTTGGCCCCTTCCTTTGGCTATATCCCCATGCATACAATGGCTTTGTTTGCTGGGAAGAAGAGATAGAGCTGGCCAACCACCTAGGGAACTGTTCTAGTGGGTTTTCTTATTTCTAAGCGTCACAAACTGCCTGTCAATCAATAGATACATTACAAGATAGGTGGTTTTACTTCCATCCCTGGACAATTAAACACAGTTAGAAAAAATCATAAAACCAGGAATAAAACTGGGTCCTTTCCTAAATCTAGAAAAAACTCCTGAAGGAGATTGCATGCAGCATTCTAATCTAGGAGTAATGAAGGTAAAGCATGTATGCAGCCTGATTACTGTTATGTAGCTAAGTCAGACATTTTGCAAAAGATTTTCCTAATAAAGATTTCTATTCCTGTAAATTAAAAAGGTTTTAATTATAAAAAAAACCCTTAACAGTGTAAGCTACTGTTTTAAATATATAATTTTTCTTTTACTTGAGGCTTTATAAAATTCTAGTTATTAGATTTGTTCTACAAATACATGTATTTTCTGTGCACTGATGTTAAGGGCCATGGGCTAGAAGAGTGAGTCTTTATGACACGATTTCACAACTTTTATCAGTGTTGTTTAATAGTAATTAGAACCAGGAGAGTTCTAACAGATATTGCTTACATTGGCTTGATATTGTTCCAGAATAACATGACCTGGAAATTCTGGCTCTGCAATATCTGCAAATCGTCGGATAACAACCAAGAGTGTGTCCAGGCCAGACAAACGGAGCTGGTCACTGTGGTCTGTAGCAGCCATAAAAGCCATTCGAATTAGGTCAGCAAGATGGAGCACCAAAAAATCATCTAGAAGACAAAATAAAATTCTTGCTTGAAAACTACTAGACAAAATGTATATTCAGATTGGCTATACCAATATTTTGATTTAAAAAGTTTTTAAAAAATTACATTTACTAATGTGTGTGTACATGTGTTTTAGTTCATTTTATTATTTAACAGCTTGTTGGGTACACTGCAAGAAGGTAGGTTTGTACAACTAGAATAAGACCTGTCAATACTATAGCTTTATTTTTAAAATGAAAACCCAAGCAGTCAGCACTCTGTTTCCATCATCTGGCTAGTCCACTCCTATGCCACTTACTTCTTGAATCACTTTTTTTCATTTCTTGTGCTAAAGCAATGTCAAAATGGGCGCTGTTTGCATTTTCACACTGGTCAATTATTCTACAGACGCAGTCAGCAGCAAAGACTCTGGTGGCCCATCGAGGATTACTGAAAGGGTGTGGTTTTCCATCACTTCTGCTGGTCAAAACCGAGGCATCATCACCTCTATCTCCTTCTTCCTCTTGCATTGTATCTATGCAAGTTACAGCTGCAAAATCTTTAACAAGGGAAAACATAAGTAATTACAACTAATTGGAAGACACAGCTATTAAAGAACACAAAACACAACTCCATACACCTTTATAGTAACATAAAATAGGTCTCATAACAGCTGGCAACAGTATTGGTTGTCACTCTGATTTCCACACACATGTACTTATACATGTGTACTCCCATCATCACCATCACACACATACACTCACACACACATACACTCTCACATACACACCAATAACAATAATGATGATGAGGATAAAATTACTACATACTGTTATAATGATCAATCCCTACATGAAGATGGTTGTTCTTAATACGATTCAACAATAAGGCTGTCTCTTATTGATCATTAACTTTTTTTTTTTCCTGAGACAGGGTCAGTGCTGGCTGGTTTTGAACTCCTAGAGATCTGCTTGCCTTTGCCTGAAGACCTTAGGGATTAAAGACATATGCCATCATAACTACATCTGTTAACTTGTTAGCCTCATAAACTAAATGGAACTAATGTCATAAAATCAACCAACCTATTATTCTTAAACTATTTTGTATCTTATATTTTCAACTTTTTTTTTTTTGTTTTTGGTGTGTGTTAGAATAGCAAAGAACTCACTAAGAAAGTTTCATCAACGAATACACATTGAATAAGAAGTCTGCAAACCAGAAAAGGTGATGCACACCTTTTCTCTTTGCACTAAAGGCAGAGACAGGCAGATGAGTACAGGGCCAGTCTTATCAATAGAGAGTTGCAGGTCAGCCAGGGTTACATAGTAAGACACTATCTTAAAACACAAAAAAAAAAAAAAAAAAAAAAAAAGTCTACAGAGATTGAAAGATATTTTCCTAATAAAAAAGGATGGAGTGAAAGTACAGAGTATTAATAAAAAGAAACCCCAACCCCCAAAACAAATAAACAACAAAACAAACCCCAAAAGTGTAATGACAGACTAAACCAGACCTGCAGGATCAAAAGAGGTCAAGGTAGAATACAGGCATCTAAAGAAACCACCAGAGGTTTCTTTATACCAGAGGAACCATACAGAACAAACGCAGGCTGCAGTGTACATGGGTGCCCACTCACCCCTCACACAGCGCCAAGCGCAGCCTGCTAGAACCAGACTTAGAACTTCAGCTTTCTGTGTCACTGTGCCAGCAATTTGCTCCCTAAGTATTCTTTTCACCTGAGTCCGCATTTTTTTAATGTCCACTCTTACACACGTGTGGGGATAGGAGCCCCTGTCCACTGTCAGCAAAGGTAAGAACAGATAGGTGCCATGGAAATTAACATGTAAGTTTCTTAAAAAGCTAGAAGAGCACACTCCAGATGACCCAGCTACACCACTCCCAGCCATATACCTGAAGGACTCAATGTCTTGCCACAGAGGTTCCTGACCATCCATGCTCACCGCTGCTGTCAGCCTAGCTATTTGTTAACTGATGAATGGGTAAGAAAAATGTGGTATATATACACAATGGGGTTTTATTCAGCTGGAAAGAAAAATGAAATTATGAAATCTTCAGGAAGATAGAATTAACTAAAACCCAAAAATGGAGGGCACACCTGTGTGGGATTTCTATTTAATTTGAAGAAGAAATATCTACCTATAATTCAGATCTTTGAGGTAGGAAGATATGCTTTTCTTTAGTCCAGATCTAATCTGGGCCATGTCTTCTGCTGGCAGCCTATGTAAGGACATGGAAAATGGAGGCTTTTGCTCTTTGCCTGCAGGTTCTCACCTTGCTAGCAAGTCCATTTCTTCACTGGCATTAGAGCCTACTTCTTTGGGATTCCAGCATATATTGTAGACCAGCTGAGATATCCAGACTCACAGACTGAGCAACTACTGGATTCTTGGACTACTGGTTCACAGGTTGCAATTGTTGGATTAGTTAGACCACAGCCTGTAAATCTTTCTAGTAAATCCCCTTTCTAGATATACATATAGATTCATTCTATAAGTTATGTGGACAGGCTAATTTAAGAAAAACTGGCTACAAACAAGCCAAACTAAGGCTGGGCATTTATAAGAAAGAATAATTCTCCATGTGATTTAGTTGGGATCTGGGTGGCAGGTCCCCCAAAGACTAAAGAGTAAAACAAACAAAAAATTCCAACAACCACAATTAGATGTTGGTGCTGTTAATTTGTTGTACAGTGCAAGACCTCAGCATCACAGAATGAAAACTATGGTAACTTTTCTATTATGTTGATATGTAGCAACCTCTCAATCATTTATAGTATGTGCAAAGAAATGGTATAACTATGTGATGGTTTGAAAGAAAATGGTTCCTACATGCCCACAGAGAGGGGCACTATTAGGTGGTATGGTCTTATTGGAGTAGGTGTGGTCTTGTCAGAGGAATTGTGTCACCATAGGAGAAGGCTTGGAGATCTCATACGCTCAAGCTATATCCAGTGTAGCAGTCTCCTGCAGCTTGTGGATCAAGATGTGGAACTCTCAGCTCCTTCTCTAGTACCATGCCTGCCTGTGTACTGCCATGTTCCCAGTAGACTAAACCTCTGAACTGTAAGCCAGCCCCAATTAAATATTTTCCTTTATAGGAGTTGCTATGTGCATGGTATCTCTTCAAGGCAATAAAACCCTAAGAGAAACTATAAGTTATGCTGTTTATACTGTAACTGCATTTTATTTGGTTCATTATAGAAGAACCGTGCATGGTGGTGTATTCCCATAACACTGTATGTGGGAGGTGGAGGCAGGTGAGGAGTTCAAGTTCATTCTGGGCCACATAGATTAAAGCCTGCCTGCAGAACATAAAATTCTGCTTAAAAGCAAAAAAAAAAAAAAAAAAAAGCTGCTAGGCAGTTTTAACCCAGCACCAGGAGAGAGCTCTGAGTTTGAGGCCAGCCTGCTTTTCCAGGACAGTGAAGGCTACACAGAGAAACACTGTTTCGAAAAACAAACCAAAAAAAAAAAAAAAAAAAAAAAAAAAAAAAATGTCAACTGTGGTGGTACATACCTTTAATCCAAGCATTTGGTAGACAAAACCAGGCAGATCTCTGTGAGACCAGCCTACATCTTAAAACTTTCTCAAAACAAAACAAAAAACAGGCAGAACAAGAGCTGGAGAGAAGGCTAAGCAGTTTGAGCACATGCTACTTTTGCATAGGGTCTAAGTTTGCTTACCAGCACCCATATGGTGGCTCACTACCACATGTAACCCCAGCTCTAGGGAACTCAATGCCTTTTTCTGGACTTGGAGAGCACTGTATTCATATGTGCACAAATCACCACACAGTCACATATACATAGTTTTTCAAAAAGACAAGAAAGAATTGTCACAGAAAAAAATTATATTTAAGACGAAGGAAAAAAAAAAAAAAAAACAAAACCTAATCATTACATTTATGTTGTGTAAATTCCAAAGAATTCTAAAAAGATATAGAAGTAGAATCTTCATTTGAAGAAAGCAATGGCCACACAATAATTACAAATAAACAGGTAAGTGAACCAGTTGTCAATGGTTCTACATTTCTTCTGATTTTACTGTTGTAACCGGCGATTCCCAGTACTCACCAGCCGATGCAGCAAGCACATCTTTACAAAGCTTTAACCAAAGGGAGAGCTTTTCCACTGCCATAGATGTCAGCATATGATGTAGAGTCTCTCTGATATCCTGGCATAGGCGTTTGTCTGTTTCTTTATCTAGTAAGGCCAGCAGTGCCCCTTCAAGGCCCACTTCTCTGATGTTAGCATCTGGCGAGAAGAAAGCAGATGATGTAAGTAACACAGGGAACAGAACTGCTACATGAGAAACACACATGTTCAGTGGTCACTAAACACAATCAATGTACTTTAAAGATAAGCCTAGATATTTCCCCTAATATACTGAAGTTGAGATTAATTCACAGTCAACTTCTGGGATTATTTACAATTCTGCATAGCCATTAAAAATAAAAAAAAAGGAAACTTATTAAATCTTTTATGAGTTCATGATATCAGGTCATCTGGAAAATTCAGTGGATAATGCTTGCTGATAAGCTTGACAACCCTGAGACCCAGATGATGGAAAGGGCAGGACCAGCTGACTACTATGACCTCACATGTGTGCAAGCCCACACACAATAAATAAATGCAATGAAAAATTTAAGATGTTGTTAATGTTACCTCAGTTAGATAAACATTATCTAATTAATGTTCAATGCAGCAATGCAGAATGTATACATACACTTTTGTATTGGAATTCGATTTTCAGTCTACGGTTAAATTCAAATCAATAAACATGACCAATACATTTCCTTGTTCTAGTAAACAGGCTCTGATTTGTTGTTGGGTGTCAATGGGGAATGAATCTGGGCTAAGCTTTGAACTTGAGATCCTCCTGCTTCAGTCTCCCAAGCAGGCAAATTACAGGCCTGTACCACCAAACCCAGCTAAAGGGTCTAAAGAGTTAAAAAAATATTACATCTAGTAGTAAGGTGTTATTACTGGAGTGTCAAAATTTGTTAGAAATGATACTGCTTCTTGGCCTTTTAGATCAGATGAAACAGAAAGCTAGAAAGAAAGAAAAAAAAAAAAATACCTACCACTGTCAGTAACACAAGGAAAGGATTTTCATGAATGACTGTTAATGCCTTTTAGAAAATAGTTTGAGCTGGGCAGTGGTGGTGCACTCCTTTAATCCCAGCACTTGGGAGGCAGAGGCAGGTGGATCTCTGTGAGTTTGAGACCGGCCTGGTCTACAAGAGCTAGTTCCAGGACAGGCTCTAAAACCACAGAGAAATCCTGTCTCAAAAAAAAAAAAAAAAAAAAAAAAAAAAAAAGAAAATAGTTTGACAATATTTATTAAAATCATCAATTCAGAGTATTTTATTCGCTCATTTATTAGGTACATGTTCCCGCATGATTTTATGTATAGTAAGTATATGGGCGCAAAAGATGGGAGGCCAAACGAGGGCGTCAGAGTCCCTGGAACTAGAGTTACGGTGGCTGCGACCCATCATATGGGTGCTGAGAATGGAACCTGGTCCTCCCCAAGTCAGTCTGAAACATCTCTGTAGCCCCCACAAATTTTTAAGAGAGAACTGGTCGGATTGTTTAAATAGTAGTCCTTTACGTGATGACTATGTATGTGTATACAACATGCTGTGACCATATTGCCAGTCCCTTCTTTTCTTCCTGAGTTTTGCTCACTAATAGTTGCCTTCCTGCCAGGTAGTGGAACACACCTCTAATCCCAGTTCTCAGGAGGAAGAGGCTGGTGGGTCTCTGGGAGTTTGAGGTCAGCCTGGTCTACAGAGGGAGTTCCAGGACAGTCAGAGCTGTTACACAGAGAAACCCTGTCTTGAAAAACAACAAAAACAAAGTTTCTACTTCTGTGTGAAAAACTCAATACTTCTTCTTCTTCTTTTTTTTTTTTTAATATTTATTTATTATGTTTGTCTCACAAGAGAAAAGGGCACCAGCTCTCATTATAGATGCCTATGATTGATGGGAATTGAACTCAGGTCCTCTGGAAGAGCAGTTGGTGCTCTTAAGCTCTAAGCTATCTCTCCAGCTACATATCTCAACACTTCTAAAAACATGTTTACATCACCAAAACCTAAAGAAATAGATACAGATAATGTTGGTTATAAACAAAAATTGAAAAGTTCCTTTGGGGAAAGGTCTTGATGGTTAGTACCAAATTATTGTACTAACAGTCATGTTGGGTAACCTAAGCCAGCAGTTTTTCCAAAATGTAAGATATATTTTTTTAAACTTTTTGAGCATTTCATATATGCTGCCCTAGTTAGGGTTATTGTTGTGATGAAACACCATGACCAACACAAGTTAGGAAGGAAAGGGTTTACCTGGCTTCTACATCACTATTTATCACTGAAGGAAGTAAGGACAGGAACTCAAACAGGGCAGGAACCTGGAGGCAGGAGCTGATGTAGAGGCCATGGAGGGGAGCTGCTCACTGGCTTGCTCAGTCTGATTTCTTGTAGCATCCTGGACCATTAGCCCAGGGATGGCACCGCCCACAATGGGTGGAGCCCCCAATTAAGAAAATGCTCTATAGGTTTTCACACAGCCGGATTTTATGGAGATAATTTCTCATTCGAGGTCTCCCTCCTCTCAGGTGACTTCAGCTTGTGACAAGCTGATGTAAAACTGGCCAGCACACACACACACACACACACACACACAATGATTTTGATTATGCTCAGCCTCTCACTCTTCCTCCTAATTCCTTCTGATCTACCTTCCTCCAGCACAAACGTTTTAATAGGATAACCTACACAGGAAATTCTTTGACATGATAATACATTATATGCCTGACAGCTTTAGGCTGAGAAGCTTTGCAAAAGCTGTGACTTTGGAAATTATACATACAAGAATATGGCAACATTGTGCCTTATAGTCAAAATTACAGGACCGTTTGAATTTCTTTTATCAGTTTTTAAAGGGAGGGATATGGGTCAGGAATGTGGCTTAGTGATAGAGCACTTGTCTAGAATGCCTGAGTCTCTGGCTTCTACTCTTAGCACAGTACAAACTAAAACTGGATATATATTTAAATTTTACTGGGGTACAGAAATGGCTCTGTAGTTCAGAGCATTTGCCACTCTTCTAGAGGACCTGGGTTTGTTCCCAACCACCTCTGATTCTACTGCCAAGGAGTCCAATGTCTTCTGAACCCTTCAGGCACCTGCACCTACATGTGCAAACACCTAAATGCAGGCATACAATTATACATATAATTAAAAAAGAAAAAACACAATTTTTACTAAGCAATGTTGAATTCTGCTCTACAATGGAGAAGGAACAAAAAAAATCTTTTAACATGTAGCAGGATATATCTACATTTTATTAAAATGTTATTTTGGAGGAAGGCACACACATACGAAAAATTACTTTAGGACTAAATGACTATATCCTGTATCTTTTACAAATGCTTTAAATGTTTGTCTGCTTAGTGGTATTTGGGCACAACTGAATATTTGTGGCAGGCAAAGGACAATTTGTGGGATCAAACTCAGGTCATCAAGCTTGATGGCAAGTATCTTTTGCTCAGACATACTGCTGCGGTGAGTAGGATCCTTGAACTATCAATGAAAGGCTGTAAAAACAACTCCTGGAAACACAGCTTGCTAGACTTTGACTCCCAGATTTCAAGTTCATAGCTGTGGTAAGAACTAATAGGCATTTGTTGTTGTTGTTGTTGTTGACCCTAACTGCAGGGCTTTTATCTTTTTTAAAAATTAATTTATTTTTTACATTCCAATCCCTGTTCTCCCTCCCTCCTCTCCTCCCACTCCCATCTGCTCTTTGGAGAAAGTAAGGCCTCCCCTAGGAAGTCTACTAAGTCTGCTTCATCATCTTGCTGAGGTAGGACCAAGGCACATATCCAAACCCCACACCCAGTGTCTAGGCTGGGCAAGGTATCTCTCCATATAAAATGGGCTCCACTAAGTCAGTTTGTGCATTACTGTTAGACCTTGGACCCACAGCCAGTGGCCCCATATATTGTCCTGGTCACACCATTGTCACCCATATTAAGGGAGTGTAGTTTGGTCTTATGCAGATTCCCCATTTGCCAGACCTGAGTCAGTGATCTCTCACTAGCTTTGGGCAGCTGATTCTGTGGGTGTCCCTATCATGGTCTTGACTCCTTTGTTCATATTATTGCTCCTCCCTTCTAATAGGCATTTCTAACAAGTTCTCACATGGTATCTCTTCATAGCAATAGACACTCCGAGACACTCATCATTTAAAAAATTCATGTATGTATGGACATTCTTAATACTGAAAAGAAGAATCACCTGCAGCCAGGTCCCTGCTGTCACTGGCTAGCAGGACAGCATGCTCTGAAACTTCAGCGGCTTCTCTCTGCACCAGCTGCCGTAAACAAGCCAGAACTGCTCTTCTCAGCAACAGGTAGGGGCTACAAAGATTCCCCTGAAAGATGAGATTTGGGGAATGAAAGCTAAGATTCTTGGTGGCACTCAGTAGGTCTAACACATATAAGACTCTTGGTGGCACTCAGTACACAGTCACTGGACTTTCTCCTGATTCCATTTAATTCATTAGTAGGCTGGACACAATTTATCAAATACATTGAAACTATTTCAACTGTTCTATAACACACTTAAAATTACAACTAGAAACAGCTCAACAAATAATATGCGTACTAAATTATGTATTATATATACACAGAGACAAGCAAAAGTTTCGACAAAGTTAGAAGACAAAGAATTTGGATAAAAATAGTTTTAAGATAAAAGAAACAACTGAAAGGACTTACACATTGTACTCATGCAATTATGTTCATGGTTCTCTATGAAATGAACACAACTACAGTGATATAGGCAAAAAAGTGTACGGGTTCAGTGGGAAGCTCTAGACAGAAGCCTCAGTGTGAACCCTTCATCTATCAGTTGCTGTGTGAGCCTGAGCAAGATGTTTAGCCTCTCTGGATCTTAGCTTTCACAGAATTATTGCCAAGAGCTGGCCACAGGAGCCACAAACAGGGACACTCACAGACTCAGGGACTTACGGATATGACTCCTCCCAACAGTTATTTTACTCGGAAGATTATAGGGAAAGTATACTTTCAAATAAATTTCACACAGAAAAGTTATCAGAAACATTCTTTAAATAAATTATTTTTAAGAACTACTCATTTCTTTTTATTTTATATGCACTGGTGCTTTGCCTGCACATATGTCTGTGTGAGTGTGTTGGGTCTCCTGGAACTGGAGTTAAACACAGCTGTGACTGCCATGAGGGTGCTGGGAATTGATTGACCCGGGTCTCTGGTACAGCAGCCAGTGCCACTGAGCCACCTTTCTAGCTTCTCAAGAAAATTCTTTAGTAACACTAAAGAACAGCTACTTTTACATACATGCAACATATATTTACACATAATACAAGTAAATCACAATGGGTTTGGCAGCAGCTTTATCTATAGCAAATGATAAGCTTGGCAGTGTACTTCAAATAATTCTAAGTCAGAAGTCTCTGGATACAAATTCCTCATTTTTTTTTTCCTATGAGACAGAGTTTTTCTATGTAGCCTTGGGTGTCCTGGAACTAGCTCTGTAGAGCAGGCTGGCCTTGAACTGAGAGATCCATCTCTCCCTACCTCCTAAGTGCTGGGGTTAAAGGCATGCACCACAACCACCAGGCTAATTTTTGTTCTCTAAGTGGGAATTTTGCTATCTAGCCCAGGCTGTCCTTAAACTCACAATTTTCCTGTCTCAGCCTCCTGATTATAGACATATACTACCATGGATACAAAGTCTCACTTAATGATCTCCTAAGCAATATAAAATTTAGATATAAAATTTACTTTTCCTTTAACTAGGATAACAAAAACCAATTCGGTATGGCCTACAATAATTTATATATTTCTTTTGAGGAGTGGAAGAATGGAACCCAAGCCTCACATTCGTTTTCTACAGTGTTTCGCCTTAGCCCACACTACCCATTGCCACAATGACTGTCAAGTTAAAACTTGACAAACATGGCATAGCTATGATAGCGATCTGATGATTTGGTATATACGAGAAAAACAGGACCTGTAGAAGGTGAATTTGTTACAGAAAGTGAGGCTAAAGTCTAAGAAAAACAAAACAGGTGGCAGCAGGTATTGTCCACTGTATAAGGTAACACATGCAAGAAAGGGTGGGTTCTACATTTGTAAGCAGAAGATATTAGGTAGGTGAAACACAAGATGGGATCTGCTTTGTAAGTATGTTTTATTAGACACTCATGTTTCAAACTTAAAAGTGGAGGAGAAGAATGCAATTCACAGACTCCTCAAGGTAATGCTACCAGTCAGGTTTAAGACTTCTATTGTTAGGAACTAGTATATAGGATCACACAAAAGTTAACATATAAAGAGCAAGTTCTCAAGATTATTGGTGTAGTTAATATCAATGATTAAAAACAGCATTCTACGTGAAAAATTTAAATGAAAATGAATATTGTATTAGTTATTTTGATTAAAGTTTTACAAGGACGTAACACAAGGAAGGTGCAGCATTCATCAGTTAAACAATCCTTAAAAAAAGAAAAGCATGCTTAGAAATACTCTTCATGTGTTTGGTAAAAGAGGTTGGGGGCTGTCACACAGAGCAAATGGGAGGCTTCACATCTCTGTGTCATTCTCCAGCATGTCAACTGGGGAAAGGAATGTAGGCTGGGTTAAAGCAGGCAAACAAAGCAGGCAAAACACAGACATCAAATAAAGCCACAATTATAATTTCTTTCTGAAATGAATACATTAAATCAAAATACTGCAAAATTTAGTGCAAGGAGCAAGTGCACCAGCTGGAGAAGGTTAGGAAGGATTTGTTGACACCAGTATTAAATAAACACCAAGAAACATGCTATGCATACTGGATTGTGCATTAATGGTTAGCTTAAACACAGAGATGCAGAGGAAAACATCTGCAACCAAAAACAATACAAAAAAAACAGCACTGCAAACCTCAACAAAGTTAGGAGTCAGGGGTCAGGGACCTACCAACACAGAATTATCCAACAAGATCTCCTGCACAAAAAACAAATGACAGACTGGTCATGACAAAATCAAAAGATAAATATTAGGACGACTATGACAACAATCAGCTAATCGTTCAAATATAAAGGCTGAGAGTTATCCTTCAAATTGGCTTAGCTTCAGTCTAAAAGCATAGTTATAAACATTCTGTTTTCTAACTTGATAAGAGTTGAGCTAAGATCTTGAAAATAAATGAATTACAAATTTCAGGATGTAAAGAACCAGGCAAGGACTGAATTTCCACTTGACTAATGAGGCTTTCCCTGAAGCTCTTATTATGCCTCAGATCCAGAGCAGGCCCAGTAGATTATATCTGTGGGAGGAGCAAGCTGGGCTGTGCTTACAATAAACCTCAGCTCACATCAATTATAGATTTTTTTAAAATTTTAAAATAGAGTGCTCAGAAGTGCTAGTGTTGCTAAGTCCAAGTTCAGACAGAAGCGAGATAATGCGAAGGTTAGCAGGGAGCCTTTAATGTACGATTCTTGCCCAATGAAGACACACAAATTCTTTACTTAGGGAAATATTGTAAAATATAATAAACTCAATCTATTGATTTAGGATAAATTGCTAATCAAATTACTAAAACACTGTAGCATAATATAATGAAAACCATTTTAATATGATTTCTACTTTAAATGTAACAGATTTATGAGATCTTATATGTCAAGGATTAGTGGGTGTTAATCTTATCCTGTTTCTCAGTAAACGTCAGTAAGTGAGTTCACGTTATCTGGTAAGGAAACTTACTTTCCATTTAAATACAGCAGCACTACTATTTTCTTAAAGTCAGATCAACTTGCAATAGAATGGAATATTTTATTGAGTAACTGAGTTCTGCAAAAATTCTTCAAATGTAGAAATTACTATCTTGGGAGAAGTTGTCTTTGAGTGGTGAATATAAAATCTTTCCCCTTGCTGTTCCTCCTAACACACAACAGACTCAACTCATAGCTAACTATATCATGTTTTTAAGGTTTTATATGATAATTAGCATCAATAGTTAATATTATGCACTGCTTAAGACACATCAATGCTATTTCAATGTGTGGTTCATGTGTCACTATATCCAGCATCTGTGTGATCCTTGATTTAACAAATGAAGCAGCCCAGCTTGGAAGAGGTTATGGGAGATTACACAACTAGGAGTGATAAAAGGATGGCTATGGTCAAGCCATAAAACTTACAAGGGCAGTAATAAAATAATGAAGATGGCAACTGGGCAAGGAATTCAGGAGAGAGGAGATTACACTAAGTCATGACTACATTCAGTAAGTTGCTTGAGGCTGTGTCTTTAGACTATCTTTTCTTTTTTTTAATCAGACTATCTTTCAACGACTGGCTTTAATGATACAAACAACATTCTACAAAAGGTGGGATAATTTGACAGTTTTGGATGCATCTTTTAAGCTCTGAAATACTACTTATTTTGCCTTAAGCTTTAAAATTAAAGGCCTGCCTATTCATTTGTCCAACAGGTTAAGCATTGTGACACATCACCCACAACATTCATGCTGGTGAACTACACAATTAAGTTAAAAACAAAACAACAACAAACAACACCCCTCCACACCAACAACAAAAGAACCTACACATAACATTTTAGGTAGGTTTCCAATTTTGTGTTGGACCACATTTATAGATATACCAGAGCTCAATTTTTTGAGGCAAGTTTAGACAGATACTGGTCATGCCCAAGGAAAATCATAAAAGTGAAGATGGTTTATGAGTGACTTCATCAGAACTTTTGGTTGGCTGGCTTTATTTTTCTACATTTGTTAGATATATTATAAAGACCCTGATATTGATGTGTTAATACAAATGTTAAGAAAAGGCATTTTAATTTCTCATTCTGTCTCTGTGTGTGTGAGTGGGCATGCAAAAGCTGTGGAGATCATAAGACGGTTTCCAGTGTCCTATTCTACTACTTTGTGCCTGATACCCTTGAGACTCACTGAGCCTAGACTTTGATATTTCAATGTCATTGGCTGGCCTGCGAGCTTGCAGGAACTACCTGTCTCTACACCCTAGTTATAGCTATGCTTTTAAGTGGGTGCTGCGAGCTGAACTCATGTCCTCATGCTCACATAGTAAGCACCTTTACCCACTAAGCCATCTCCAAACTCATTTATCCATCTGTGCAGAACTTTTGACGGAATTAGAGGAGGAGAAAAAAAAATAGATAGGACCACAAGAAACACTTGCAGGTCCACCAGCAATTATATAGACACTCCGATAGTGTAAGTATTCAGTAAGTGTTCTGGTTCATGAATAAATTCTCCAGGATTTGGGGTCAACACTAATAGCAGATGAAAGTGGTCCTTCCCCTTGCTAAAACAGACTGAAAGAAAAGTCATACATACAGCACAATTTTTACATAGGCTGGAAAATAAACTGGAATAAATTGAAGTCTCAGAAACTAGGATCTCACTTATACTTTAATACTCACACAGAGGCAGCTGACCAGACTTGACAAGTTGACATGTCGTGGAGCAAACATGTGAAGCTGCTGAAGGCAAGAGATGGCCTGAGCCTGAACCAGGCAGCCTGGGTTGTCCTGCATCACGGCACAACCCAGCAGACACGAGGTCCTTAAGGTGGACACAGAAGTATTGTTACCTGAAATTATTAAAAGCCAGAGCTTTTAACAATTGGCCTATAAAACCATTAGTCTTTAAATATATATGAAGCTTTAAAGTTCATTAAGATCATTTTATAGATTTGTCAAAATAAAATCTGAGCAGAGATGGACTGGGACATGGGTCAGTGGTTAAGTATATGCTCAATATGTGGGAAGCCTTTGTACCTCTCACATGAGCGAGCAAGTGAGTGAGCGTGCCCCCCCCCCCACACTTACTTCAGGGGAAGGATAGTAAGGTGACATGCTTATAAATTATCTTGTTCTTAAAACTTTTTTAAAAATTTACTCTTGCTGGGCAGTGGTGATACACACCTTTAATCCCAGCATGGACAGGCGGATCTCTGTGAGTTCAAGACCAGCCTGGTCTATAGAGCAAGTTACAGGCCAGGCTTCAAAGCCAGAGAAATCCTGTCTCGAAAACCAAAATAAATAAATAAATTGCTCCTTACTTATTTTGTGTGTATGCGTGTAGGTGTGTGAGCATGCAGCAGCAAGTGTGTGGAGGTCAGTGTTCAACTTGGCAGGAGTTGGTTTTCTCTTCTTACCAAATGGATCTGAGGGCTCACACTCAGGTTGCTAAGTTTGGTGAGAAGTGCCTTTGCTTGCTGAGCCATCTCATCAGCCTAATTAGCTTGTTCTAACTGAAATGTTTATTAGAAGAATCCAAAACTATTTACAAGTGTTATTAAATATTCATGAAAAGTAAGATTTGGTAAAAAGTAGAACTAGGTATTGCCAATCAACTTAGCTCTGCTGGCATTATCTGAGGTTTATTTTCATATGTTATAATCATATACCAAATGATTTCAAGAGGTTTGACTCTTTGAAAGTTTGGATTTATTTATTTCTTGGAGAGCAGAGTTCTTTATGCTAGTGTACTTTATGTCTGCCACTTTAATTTTTTCAAGGTAGGAGACAACAGGCTGGCTGAACTGAAGTCTTCATTTAGCAAGACATAATGAACCCCTGTTACACGCTAAGCACAGAGACCAATACATGAACTTATCTCCATGTGTGTATCTTCCTGTAAAACACCACAAAAGCAACCTCTGCATACCTTGTAGCTCTGGACCTAATGTGGTAATAAGGGCGTTCAAGCATCGGCCAAGACTCTGGTGAACTTCGGCATGAGTTGGAGGCACATTTAACAACAACATGGTAATGAGGGACAGGGTAGGCTCCACATGTACGTGATAGAGTGCACCAGCAGAATCAATGGTCAGGGAGAGAGAGTGCAGTGCCCAGGTCTGTAAAGACAAAAAGGAAATAAACAGGCCACAGCTGCACCACAAAACATAAAAAAGCACTAAACTGCTCTTTGTTTAGCAAATTAAAAAGCATTGGAGCCGGGCTGTGGTGGTGCATGCCTTTGATCCCAGCACTCAAGAGGCAGGTGGATCTCCGTGAGTTTGAGGCCAGCCTGGTCTACAGAGGGAGTTTCAGGACAGCCAAGGTTTTATATATATACCACACAGAGAAACCTGTCTGGACAAAAAAAAAAGGAAAAGCATTGGGTATGTCACTACTAATTTGGAAAGAGTAAGTAAATTCTTTTAGGAACTACAGAGATGGCTCAGAGGTTAAGAGCACTAACTGCTCTTCTAGAGGTTCTGAGTTCAATTCCCAGCAACCATAGGGTGACTCACAACCTTCTGTAATGAGATCTGGTGTTCTTTTCTGGCATGCAGGCATATGTAGACAGAGCACTGTATACCTAATAAATAAATCTTTTAAAAAAAGAAAATTCATTTAAAGAATATTATTTATTTGTATACCATGTATATGAATGTTTTGTGTACATGTGCATATGTGTACCACGTGCATGCCTGGTGACCACAGAGGCTGGAAGAGGTGTTGGGTCCCTTAGAACTAGAGTGATAGATGGTTGTGAGTGGAGGGAACTGAACCCAGGTCCTCTGCAAGAAAAACAATTGCTCTTAATCACTGAACCATCTCTCTAGCCAAGAACATCCTTATCTTTAAATATCAAATATAAAACTAATTCAGACAATCATCAAATTCAGAATGATCCATCTAGAGATAGCTGAGCAGTAAGAATATCAAAGACAGCTTGCATAAATTTAGTTTGTTTACTATTCATATAAATAATAAAAATGAAGAAAGCTGGGCATCAGAGATTATACTCTGTATAATTCCATTTATGTAAAATATAAAAGGCGATAAAGCTAGTTTGTACTGTCTCACACAGGGTAGTAGTTATCTCTGTGGCACAGGCACTATAAGACAGCATCAACAGTGTCCAGGGCACGCCATGTTTAGCGTTTTGATCTAGGTGTGTGTGATGGGTTTTTAGTCTATGCATTTTCTTCATAGATACGTACACTAAAACCTTTGCATATAACAATGCATATTCTAGTTTAGGTAAACCAAAAGTGGCCTTGTCACGCTAACTTCTGAACTTGAATTATAAGGAATTGGCACACCACAGGATTTCTCTACTTTCATGAATGCTTGACTGTTCCATTACATGAAGTGAACAAAGAGTTCTGTTAGATGTGAACCAGACATTTCTCCTTCCATCAACACATCAATTGGCTATCTATTTCTTACAAAGCCTAAATGCTACAAAAATGAGTCCCTAGCTGTTAGCTGGGAGGTAAGAGCAACCCATAAAGACTCAGTTTTCTTTTGTGCAGGATATGGATACACTCTGTTGATAAGCTGTATACAGATGCACTCTATCCACCAATGAGCAGAAGCACTCAATCTACCAATGAGCTGTACACAGATGCACTCTACCAATGAGATGGATATAGATGCACTCTATCCACCAATGAGTTGTACACAGAAGCACTCTACCAATGAGCTGTACATACATGCACTCTACCAATGATGTAAATAGATACACTCTATCAATGAACTGTACAAAGATGTACTCTACCAATGAGCTGTACATAACCCAAAGATGACTTGAGTTTGATGACAAAAATCATCAAAAAAGCATTTAAATTAATCATCAAACAGCATAAAATCAATATAAAACTATGTACATTAGAAAAGATATTTTCAAAGAGTGAAAAGAATTCTAACAGAGAAAACACATAATATTGTTAATTCTTGTGCTAATACTAGAGATTGGATTAGGACCTCATGCATATTAGGCAGACATTCAATGGATGGACTATATCTCTAAACCAAATTTTTTTTTTTTTTTTAAATTTTTTCTCTTTGACTCAGGGTCTCACTAAGTTGTTTGGGTTGGCCTTGAACTTATCCTATAGCCTAGGCAGGCCTTGAATCCATAATCTTTCTACCTAAGCAACTGCTATAGAGCCTGGCTGTTTGTGCTTTGGTGCTTTTGAGAGAGTCTTGCTGCCAAGATGGCCTTACATTCTATACAATCCAAGTTGGCCTGTAACTCATGATTGAGCACCAAGAGCAGAGGTGCCCAGCACTATTCTTGGCAAAGTACTATAATTAAAGATAGTTGAAGACTTGGATGTGGTAGCACATACCTGTAATTAACAGCACTTGGAGGAGGCAAGGAGGACCAGTTCAAGATCAGCTTTGGCTACATAGATGGATGAAAAATGGAAAGTTTGTCAGTTCAGTTAAGCATTACATGATGTGGAGAATTTTACACAGAATATGATAATATAACTAGAGTATAGATGTTGAAATTTGTCAAGACAGTTAAACTGGACCTCCCACACTGCCAGAGTCTCTATAGGCAGCTAACACTTAGTGGGGAGGAAAAGACACCTTACCCCAGTGGAAGATGCTCATCCTTCTCTAACAACCCTCATCCTATTCCTGCTGGCAACCCTAATCAAACTCATCGGAAGAAGAAAGAAGGGGAGGAGGAAGAGAGAAGGAGGAAGAAGAAGAGGAGGAGGACATGAGGGGAACAAGAGATGGTAAAAGGGAACGAAGATGATCAACATACATTATATACATGTGTGAAAATTGAAAAATGTCACAACAAAGCAATCATGATATAAATTAATACACAGTGATGCACACTAAAGGACTTGGGTTATCAGATAAGAGGAGGAAGAACAAAAGGGAAAACTTGAAGTGAAGATGAGAAAGTGACAGGAGCAAAGCAGGCAGGTCATCTACAGAAGTCAGTTTTGGGGGGACAATAGCAGAGATGGGTCTTGGGTCAGCTGGGAAGCTGCTTAGGAGGGGCATGGCGGTGTAGGAGGATCATGAGTTTGATGCCAGCCTGGGCTACACAGTAAGGCAACACCTCAAAAATAAAAATAAGACAAAGTAAAATGAAACAAAATGCCAAGGTGATAGCACAAGCCTGTAAATTCAGTTTTTCTGGTGGTTCAGGCAGTGAGGCCAGCCTGGGTAACAAGTTCAAAGCCAGGCTGGGGAACTTAGTGAGTTCCTATCTAAAGGTAACAAGAGTCTGGGGATGTGGGTCATTGGCAGAGGACTTGGCTGCTGGCATACACAAGACCCTGGGTTCAATTCCCCACCTGAAAAAACAAAAAAACAAAACACACCAAACCAAACAAAACCATGGGCAACACAACAAATTCTTCAGCAAGAAGGTTGCAAAATAATACATTTTAAACAAATCTGGTTTCACATTTAGAAAAGATTGGAAAGAAAAATAATGAGAAAACAGTAAAGTCTTTTAGGAGGCTACTGTAAAAAAATTAGGGATATATGTACAAGTGGGAAGAGATAAGGAAAATAAACAAAATAGGAGAATACTTAGGAGGCTGAGGCAGCATAATTGATTACACGCTTGAGGCCAGGCAGAACTATGTAGTACGACTATTATAAACAAAATGAAACAAACAAAGAGACCCTAAGGATGTATGAATGGAGTACGGTCTTTAAAAAAAAAAAAAAAAAAAAAAAACCACAGCCAGGCATGACCTCACACACTTTAATTCTATTACTTGGAACGCAGAGGCAGGTAGATCTCTGAGTTCTAGGCCAACTGGTCTACACAGTGAGTTCCAGGACAGCCAGGGTTACACAGAGAAACCTTGCCTAAAAAAAAAAAAAAAAAAAAAAAAAAAAAGAAAGAAAGAAAGGAAGAAAGAAAGAAACCAGAACAAAACAAAGCAATCATTAGGAGAACAGAATCACTCTAGCTAGATGCCAGAGGAACGGTGAACTTGATAGCAGCAGTCACACACAAATGGATGGTACAGTAGTCAAAGTGGGTTTTCGGTCTCTAACCTGATTTCTTTTTTTGTTTGTTTGTTTTTTAAAATCTCATTCGCAATTAGCTTCTCAGCCATGAAGAAGTACTTGGCTTCTGAAAGCCTCAGACGCCCTCTAAGGGACTTCTTGCCCTACATGATTACAAGCACCAACTATGCCAGTGTGTTTAGAAGAGCACTGCACAGTGCCTGGTGCCTAACAAGCTCAGGTGCTATCTATCGGTCTAATGCTCCAATCTTCAGAAAGGACACCGAATCGGACTGAGTGCGAGCACTCTGAGTATGAGTGGAAGAGAGGTTTGAATTTTTAAAAATCTATCAAACGGAACAACAGTTTTGCCATTTAACATGGAGTATTAGTTGTCAGTGAAAGCAGAATCTGAATCATGGATAAGTCACAGACTTCAAGGAAGGTGTCATGTGAGGAGACTCACCTGCACATCAGGAGAAGTGCTGTCCTGAGACAAAGTATAAAGGACTCCAATACAAGAACTCAAGTGCTGAGGACCTATGCCCCCTAAGTACCTATGCAGGGATCCCAGAGCCAGTGAGTGGCCTGTTCTTGTAACCACATCTCTTGCTGACTTCAATCTGCAATTATAGAAATAAAAAAGGACAAAAAAGATTAAACCCAAACAGAACTCATGCACGCAGCAGCTCAGTTTGTGAGGGCTGACTACCCATGTCTAACCCTAGGACTCAATCTATAAAATGAGAGGGTCTGTTTCCACAAATTGTCTTCTGAGCTCCACATGCACACACATGCATGCTGTGGCACATGCAGACCCACACACATACTTGCATACTACCATATGCATACACGAACACCCACATAGATATATATGCATGTACATACCCTTGCATATGCATTTACACACATACATGAGGAATCACAAGCATACATGTGCACTACTCACACTTGTATAAACATAGATAATACATAAAAAATAAATATATTTCAATACATGTAACTTGCTACATAGGCAAAACTTTTCACAAGACTAGTTAGAAAAGTAGAAATGTATCTTATGGTGGTCTGAGGGAAAATAGCCCCCAAAGGGAGTGGCATTATTAGGAGATGTGGCCTTGTTGTAGGTATGTTCTTGTTAGAATAAGTATGTCACTGTGCAGGTGGGTTTTGAAGTCTCATATATTCTCAAGCCAAGCCTAGTGAGAGAGACCACTTCCTGTTGCCTGTGAAAGATCTAGGACTCTCAGCTCTTGCTTTAGCACCACGTCTATCTGCACACCACTGTGTCCCACCATGATGATAACTGACTAAACCTCTGAAACTGTAGGCCACCCAAATGAAATAGTTTCCTTTATAAAAAATTGCACGGTCATGGTGTTCTTCACAGCAACTGAAACCCTAAGACATTTCATTTTCCTTTTTTAAAAAAACTTATTAAAGACAGGGTCTCAAGATGGGCGGTGGTGATCTATGCCTTTAATCCTAGTACTCAAAGTAGGTCTACAAGCTAGTTCCAGAACAACCAAGGCTACATGAAGAAACCCTGTCTCAAAAAGCCTTTCTCCCCCACTCCAAGAGAGAGAGAAAGAGAGACAGAGAGAGACTTTCACTATATAGATCAGACTGGCTTTGAACATACAGAGATTCACCTGCTTCTGACTTTTAAGTGTTGGGACTAAAGGTGTGCACCACACCACCATACTCTATGATTTTCTCACTATACTATTTCAGAGATACACACATACTACTTAAAATATATATTAGCTGGACGTTGGTGGTGCATGCCTTTAATCCCAGCACTCAGAAGGCAGAGGCAGGAGGATCTCTGTGAGTTTGAGACCAGCCTGGTATACAGAGCAAGTTCCAGGACAGGCTTCAAAGCAATACAGAGAAACCCTGTCTCGAACAACCCAAAAAAAAAAAAAAAAAAAAAAAAAAAAATATATATATATATATATATATATATATATATATATATATATATAATACATGACATATATTCACACACTCACTACATATGACATATACAAATATACATTATATGTGATATATACATGTATACACACATAGTGTATAGGGTTGGCACTAATACTATTTTATTATTAGGTAACATTTTAATTCCCTCACTTTACTTCAAGAACTTTGAGACTAAAACTATAAGAGAAGTTATTATTTATTGGTAATGTCCTAAGTGCTATTAGGCACTTCAGCTCTTCATCCCCCCCAACAGCCGCATTTTACTGGTGATTCAAAAGGACAGCTGGAGTAACACAGAGTAATATGGTAGAGATGAGATTCGAACCAGGGCCAAAGAACTCACATTACCATCACAACTACTAACCAATTGATTGTGTTTACATTAAACCTACAAGCATGCACTTTTTTGGAGTCTTGTTATGCAGCTCAGGTTGGTTCAAAAGTAAACCAGTGGCAATTTTGCTTCTGTTCATTGAGAATGAGTATGTGCTCCCATAGCAGGTATAATCGTGGACTTTATCTGTAATTGTTTTAGTATTATTTTCAAATTTTAGCCCTTTCCCTTAAACAGTTAAATAAGTAGGACCACATTACTGACTACCTCTTCAGAATAGTCTGAGACAATTAGCTGGAAGGACTAAGTGACCTCCCCAAAGCTACAAAGGTATTGTGGTCTGTAGTCTACAGTTTTCCCTTCCTGCAGACTGCTTGGGCTACTTATCTTATGTACTTTACATGACAGAACTGTCCCACTCTATTTATTGAGTATATATGTCCAACTATAACATAACATCCATATAACAGAGACCAAGAGGGTTTCCTTCATCTGAAAACATCCACATCATCAAATTTTTCTTTTTCAGTTAAACTGCAGAACATTCTTATTACTTCCAAAAAATAGCAAACTATATCCCATTTTTGTTAACAGCCCACTAAGAAATTCACTTACTTGTCAAAGCTAACTTGGGCTAATCCAGCCGTAAAAACTCCATCATCAACCACTTGGGCCAATCTAGCCCATGCTTCCGAAGCTGCACATCTCAAAAGGGGGTTGGGACTTTCTAGGGCTCCCAGCACTAGTGTTAGGACAAGTCTTCTTACTTCAGGACCTAAACTTCGTTTAGAGCCAGCCACATACTAAAGTATATGAAAACAATTAAAACGCACAATTACAGCAAATGTTCTGATCTAGTTTAAGATGTATATTCTTGTCAATCAAGTATGTTCATCACTTAAAAAACACAGAACACAGAAATCACTACTCACGATGTCCATGAAACAAATGACTAATGAACACTATCATGTTTTACTGAGAAACAGTAAGACGTTGTAAGGGCACAGTTGGATTTGTTTCACAGATACCTGTCCTAGAATATCTTGTTTAGTTAGCCAAGGCATGGCACTAAGCCAAGGTCAGATGCTAATAAGTTTTATATGGAGAAAAAAAAATAAAGAACAACTCCCAATCCTGAAACATATTCATCAGAGATCAAGAAAAATGAATAATGAATTTCTCTAGAAGAATCAGCATAAAGCCTACTTAGTTTCAAACTTACTTAGAAGATAAAAAGTAAAATTACCTTCAATAAATTAGAAACAGCACAAACAACGTGCAACTGAACTGCTTGCTGACGAGCTCCTTTGGTATGCTTTATGCTGTTCAAAAGCTGCTCCAGTATCTGAAACCTGAAATTAAGAGCCACAAGAGTTAAACGCAGCGCAGAGCATTTAAACACCTCTGCTGATTCTCCTGTTACTGTGTTTTGTGGCAACTACTAAGATGAGAAACTGTTATCCAATACCTTTAAACAGCTTAAGAAGAAACACACACACACACACACACACACACACACACACACACACACACACACACACACACACACCACAACCAATAGGAAAATGTTTCTTTTTGATGGCCATTCCAGCAGCAGGGAAGAAAGCATTATTTTATGAAAAACATTACCAAAGTCTGTTTCTTCTTGGGAATATTCTGCTACCTCAGTACCTGTAGTTTACAGAACTTTTTTTGCCCACTTCTCCTAACTTCCAGTCTATTCTTTCTGAATCATGGGGCAAACACTCTTAAGAAACAGTAGTTCTTAGCATTTCGAAAATCATACTTGTAGTGATTATAATACTTATGATTTATTAAAGTTTGCCTGAAGATTCAGAAAGCAAAGTCAGCCAGAAGTCATAGAAGCCTTTAATTCCAATAGCCAGAAGCTAGGAGGTGGTGGTACACACTTTCAATCCTAGGACTCAGGTTTAAGAGGTAGATGGATCTCTGTGAGTCTTAGGCCACCCAAATCTATACAGGATTGGTACAGTCCTAAAGACAAACAGCTCACACAAAGATGATCTCAGCACCTGGGATCAAATGCCTTTAATACCAGCATTGGGGAAGTATATAAGACAGGAACAAGGGCTCAGTATGAAGCGTTCATTATCCAACCACACTGAGGATAGGAGGCATTCATTCTCCAGCCACCTTGAGGATAGAAAGACATTCAGTCTCAGGGTTCTCCCACCATGCTGAGGAGAGGCAGCAGGGTCAGCCCATTCAGCCTGAGGTAGTAGTAAGAGATAGTGGCCTGCTACTTTGCTTTTCTGTTCTTCAGCTTGAAGTTTGAATCCCAGTATCAGTCTCTGGGTCTTTTATTTTTCGTATAACACATACTTTGTATTCCTTGAGTTACCCCGGTAGCTGTGATTGTGAGAACACAATCCAGGAACTGGTGCTGTCAAGGCTGTGTGGTAGGGCCTTGTGGTCCCTAGCTCAGAGCCCAGGTGAAGTAGGGACTACTGGGAGGTTTCTGGGCCACTGGGTCTCCATATCCTTTGCTTCCTGGCTGTGAGGTGGGTGGTTCTGCCCTGGCAGTCAGTCCCAAAATGACATCCCTCTGCCGGCTCAACTATTCATTGGAAGCCCTAAATTTGTGAGCAAAAATAACTCTTTCTTGATTATAAACTGATTATCACAATTATTTATTAGGTTCAGAGAAAGCTGATAAACTGAATACTATTATTTGAGAATATCCTAATTCATATATATTCAGTGTTGACAATCACACAAAGTTTTGCATTCTTTTTTTAATGACATTTAAAATCAGAGGGTTTTAATTCCTTATGTAGAGATTCAAGACTTACCTGTGAGACAAGCCATACCACTGTCCATCAATTTTCTCTTAAGACTCTGCTTCTGAGGTTAGTACTTTCTCCCCATTTAAATTAAGAAAGCAGAGACAACACTAATGAGTATTTTGTGGGCTGTGAATTAAGATGTCAACAAGAGTACCTTGAAATGTCTAGTACCCTGTGTTAGGCATGTGGCAGGCGGTCAAATGTATCCATCACACCAGCAAAAAAGAACAATTGGATCAGGAAGGAACAAACAGTGTACAGAGGGGGTTGGGGGGGCGGAGAAGGCAGATAGGCATGCTTTACATGACTCCAGCACACTCCCAATCCAATGTCCCTGAATGCTGAATCAGATCTCTAGCATTTTAAAAATTCCGTGTGTGTGTGTGTGTGTGTGTCTGGGGAGGGGGGGTGTCAGGAGACAAATTTATGGAGTAGGTTCTCTCTTACCATTTGTTTCTTTCCTAGGGAGTGCATGTGTCTGTCACAGCATGTGTATAGTCAGAGAAGCAGCCTTCAGGCTCTCTTCTTGCACTCTGACATGATCAACTCTGGTTATCAGTATGGCAGCCTCTACCCACTGTGCCATCTTGCAGGCCAGATCTCTATCACAATGTTGAGGACACAGGACTTAGTTTTGTCCAGTAGCAATTTTGTTATCAAAGCAAAGGAGATATGGGTGTTGCTCCTTTTAAAAGCACAATAGTGCAAGAAGTTTGATGGGGAAAAAAGGTATAATAAAAATGGCAGGTCATGAAGGATTGAGAGAATCTCACTACTCTCAAGTTCACTTATAGCCCTGGCATCTAGAAAGAGTTATCATTAACATTTCAGAATCTTTGATTTTATTTTCAGACCCCCACCCCAGGATTATGGAAATAATTTTCAGAAAACTGGGCCTACAGTGTACTTGGCTTGGCTTTCTCTCTCTCAAGCATACTGTCATACATTTTCCCATTTTATTAATGATTACAGAGAAACACTTTAAATAACTATTAGCACTAGTCTATGAATATAATAATTAATTTTGTCAATTCCTTAGTTTGAGATCTTTAGGGCATTTGTAATTTTTCTTATTAAAAATATGGTTGCTGTTTATGGTGGTACATAAACAGGTACCTGTAATCCTAGCACACAGGAAGCTGAGGCAGGAGAATTGCTGAGTTTGAGGCCAGCTGGGGCTACACAGTAAGCTTCAGGCCAGTCAGGACTGTATAAGATTTAAGATTCTCTTAAAATGAACAATACAAACCACCCCCATAAACCCCTTTAATCATTAACATTTGTGCTTTAATACTAGCAATGCAAACTCTTATTTTTAGATTTCTGCAGCCAGAATACAGAGACTTGCCTAGTTTGAAAGAAAATTTCAGGCCCATGAGGTAACCAGCAGATAAAGGCAGAGACAGGAAGTTCCAGGTCATCGAGAGACTTAAATTAAGGTAGCTTGTGACCTTAAAACTGGCACAGTGATTATCCTCTGGCCAATACACACACGCACATGAACCCAGTCAGACCTGTCATGACTAAGAGCTCAAGGTGGGACAACAGGAGACTAGATAGATACTCTATTCACATAGCTTCTCTTCTCTGGTTCTCTAATGACCCCCTCAAGAGGCTGCTGAGTTACAGTGGCTTACTTTCTGCTTCTGGGATCCTGCAATGCCTTTTCCTTTAAAAAATCAATAACAAAACAAAACAAAACAAAAAAAACCTCAAACTACTACCTGACATTTTATTCACTTAAAATCAAAACAGAAAAAATAAAAACAGAATAACAGGTTGTTTTTGTCATGCCTGAACATTTTAACTATAACAAATAAAACCTGCTTTCAAATACTTGAATATTCATTATATTATTATATCCTAGGTAAGGAAAATGATGAGCACAATTTAAATTTCATTAAATGTAATAAAATTAAGACATCATGAACATCTAACTAGATAATAGATCAGAAACTTGTCTACAAGAAAAATGTCATTCTTCTGTAAAGGGAAGTACAATCTTTTTATCAAAAGGCCTGCAGAAGATGTGGTTATTCATAAGTGAACTGTACCAAACCTGCTTCAGAAATATCTTCATAACCAGGCTATTGTTAAGTTTTCACTAAGGGACTGAGATAAAATTCCTATTGAATGGCTATTCACTAGGAGACATGATTAGATGAAATGACAGAATAAAAACCATGATCTAAGTCAAATGCGTTGTGTTTTAGAGTGAAATGTTAGGGGCAAAAAGGGAAGGAGAAAGAACACTGGTGGATAAATGGGGCTAATCTGTAAACTCATGATCAGTGCAGCCATTTAGTTTCTGAGAACACTATTTCCTAGGTAGTGGACTTTGATCCCTAACATAGGTGTATGTCCAGGTCATCAGGTAAGAACCTGGCATCTTAAATGAGAAATCACTCATTAGTTTTGGTATTTTCTCTTTCTTTTTTAGTTATTCGAGACATGGTTCCTCTGTGGCTTTGGGGAGTGTCCTGGAACTAGCTCTTGTAGACCAGGCTGATTTCGAACTCACAGAGATTCTCCTGTCTCTGCCTCCCAAGTGCTGGAATTAAAGGAGTGAGCCACCACCGCTCGGCAGCCTTTGGTATTTTCAAAACCTCCTCTTCCTGTGTGCCAGGGTTATGGCAGATGCATTTAGCAATTTCTTATCAATATTACATGAAAACAGGCTTAACCTCACCTGTCCCAGGTGACACTCTTAGGCTAATGAGGTCATCTGATGGCACCCTTCTTGCCCACCAGCAATGTGTTTGTTAGACAGAACACACTTCAGGAAAGCAGTTACTTAAGAGACTTACCTCTGGGCCTCTCCCACATGAGCACAGACAACCCCGAAGAGCTTGGATGCGGAGCTAATAACTGACAGTGCTGGGGGTAGGGGCTTAGGCACAGAGTCTCCTTCTACGTCCTTCTCATAGATAGAGTAAGGGTCATATTCTAGACTTCCACAAGCAACACCATTACCAAGCAGGAGCTAGATGGGGGGTAGGGGGGGAAAGGAAGTTAACAGTTGAAAAGAACCATTCAAGACAAAACCTCCTCAAGAATTATTCTAAAACTACTATACCTGTTCTTCAATAAACCTATGGTCAGTCTCTTGCAGCAAAGGACTTAATATCAAAAGGTCATCTGGGTGACAAAGGGCTGGAAGTAAACATGCAGAAGCTGCTGCTTGGGTGTCAGGAGCAGTCAGTTCAGCAGCCAGCTCTTTGAGGATAGCACTGAGGTTCCCTATGGAGTCAGAGGAAAAGAACAATTAGCGATTTAGTACTAGCTTTTATGGGATAAAAGAAAGCTCAGGTGACCCAACTTTACAGACTCTATTTTTCATCTTTGGTAACCATACTACACAGGAATGGCTCAGCTGTGTCCACCACACCCAAGGCTAAGGACAGTGAAATGACAATGTGAAGTATATATACACTTATAGCAAGCAGTAAGTACTGGTTACCACTGAGATAAAAGTAATGAAGTACAATTCTTTCATGCCTTAAGCATCTAATAACAAAACACCTAGCAGGGTATGGTGAGACATGCTTTTAATCCCAGCACTTGGAGGCAGAGGCAGGAGGATCTCTGTGAGTTCAAGGCAAGCCTACTCTACATAGTGAGCTCTAAGACAGCCAGGACTATATAGACCTTGTCTCCATATAAATAAAACAACTAAACAAGGCTGGGTATGTTGCTTAGTAGTATGGCACTTGCTCTGCATGTTTAAGTCCTTAGATTCACTCATTAGCACCAGGGAAGGAGAATTTAGCCCCGCAAGATGGCATACTCCCATAGTCCCATCTACCCAGGAGGCTGACACAGGAGAACTGCTTGAGCCCAGGACCTGGATGGAAGCCTTCTTGGACATTACACAATTTCATCTCAAAAGAAAAAGAAAGGTAGACAGGCAGGAAGAGACTGGTTTAACAAAAATCAGGGACTGAGTTAAAGACAATAGGTGCTATAAAATGTCCTACCAGCTTACAAAAGAGCCTCTTAAGAAATGTTCTGAGAGCTGGGAGATGGCGGTATACACCTTTAATCCCAGCACTTGGGAGAGAGAGCTAGGAAAATCTCTGTGAGTTCGTGACCAGACTGGTCTACAAGAGCTAGTTCCAGGACAGGCTCCAAAACCACAGAGAAACCGTCTCAAAACACAAAAAAAAAAAACAAAACAACAACAACAAAAGAGAAATGTTCTGAGGTCAGATGAGCAGATAGGAACAGGGTACTACTGCCAGAGAGAATGCAGCCGGGCTGAACCAGAGCCAACCACTGGGCTGAATTTCTCATTTACTGAAGGTGCACTGAAGTTGCTATGGAGAATTTCCATTTGGTTTTGCAGTGCTGTGAACTAAACCCTGGGTGGGCCTGCACATGTTATGGAAGAAATCTGCCATTTGAATTGTAGTCCCCACCCACATTTTACTTTATTTTGAGACATGGTCTCACTAATTACTGAGGCTAGCATGACCACAATCTATAGCCCAGGCAGTCTGACTCAGTTTCACAGGTTTGTGCCACCAGGCCTGGGTGACAGTTATAACTATAACTTTCCTCCAAATGTCAAGTTTCCACTTCTAGAATAAATACCTTCAATTACTAAGTTAGAGAAGCAATGTATTGTCTTAGCACCATGCTTTACACCAGGCACAATAGTACAAACCTGTGATCCCAGCACACAGGAAGCAGAAGCGGGAGGATCAGGAGTTCAAGGTCATTCCTCAGCTACATACATAGCAAATTTGAGGCTACCTTGGGCTATATGAAATTGTCAAAAGCAAACAAAACAAACTACAAAAAACCCAAGGTAATCTTATCAATTGCAGAATCTCACTTTTACAAAATCATTTTTTGAACCTAATAAGAACAAAATTTGTATTATAAACTTTGTAAAATAAATTCTACATTGGTGGTTTAGTAGTAAACATTATTCTTGGCCTGGAAAAGAGTTAGGAATATAATATAGAAAAATGGAAAGGAATATGTTCTATCAATAGCATTCTACAAGGAAACCAAGAGTCAAATTTATAATAGATTTGCACTATAAAATTTGCAAACAAAAATACTGGAGTCTTTGTGACTAGGCCTGTGCACAGTAGGACCACAGGTACTTTTCCCAAGGGAGATGCAAATGACATATGAAAAGACACAAAAACTAGATTCCTTCTCCTCTTCCTTTTGGGGTAGAGACGTATGGTGTAATTCACACCACTAGCCTGGAACTCATGGAGCTCAAACTAATAATCCTCCTGCCTAGGTCTCCAAAGTATTAGAATTACAGGTGTGTGCTGCCATACTTAGTAAGAAGTTAGATTTATAAAAAACACAGTATATTTAGTATAAAACAGTGAGCCTGAGGATTAAGGCAGTACTCTAACATATAAGAAAAAACAATAGTCACCACCATTCACTCACTCAGGCAAGGGTTTAACAACTATTGATTTGTAGATATCAAACTAGTCACAAACAATAAAATATTTTGGTTTAAGGCACATACCTTTATAGGTCTCAGGAGGTAACAAAATTAGCAGTTCATAAAGCCTCTGTCTATAAACTACTGATGGTGTTTTCAAAGAACTTCCATATGTTTTTAGTATTGAAGAAAGCCTTAAAACAAAAGAAAAAGCGAATCTTAAGTGTGTATGTTATATGGAAATGTACAAACACAGAACAGGTCAACATATAACCACAAGCTAATGAACATTAGTGCTAATCTATGTTTTTAAAATATGGTGGCCTCGTAAGTCCACGTGGGATTCTAGGAACAAGCTCAGGCATAGAGTACCTGCCTAACATATGAGGTCTGGGTTTCATTCCTGGCATTGAAATCAAGCCAACAAAACAATCAAATAAAACAAGAACAATCATTTTTCTGACATACTTTATAAAGTGAAAATATAAAGTCAGTTTTCATTTCAAAGGCTGTTAAATATTTATTATAATGGAAACCCTAAACTCCTAGTATAAAATTTCAAGTTACTTGGCATTTGCCAGAAACAAAAATCTATTAGGTAGAAAATTAACTCAATAAATAATAAAGTAAAATAAATACTGGTTCTATTTTACAAGCTTCAGCTTGATAATCATGACAGAACAGTTCTGAAGCCTCATGTAGAATATTTTAGTTATGCAAATTAAGCTAATCCATTATATTTGAGTTTCCTTAAAGCCAGATCAAAAAATTATAGCTAATTCCATTCATATTTATATGTTAAAAAATGACCCTTATATTTTTAGAACTTTGCATCGTTTACTTGGTTTAAATACATACAATTTAGTTTAGAGATTATAAATTGTTCCTGTAAACTCAGATTAGAACAAAGTAAGAATCTAGGAAATTGTTTTTATTGGGTTTTGCTTCCATTAGAGGGAAAGGTTAGTCAATGTTAAGGTTTTAAAAAAGAACAATACTTCAAGAAAAAGAAGTTATAGAGAATAATGATATAAAAAACAAATTTCAACATGAGCAAGGCTAATTTTCACAAAGCTTAACAGGTAAGCTTAGTGAGACTCAACAGGAAAGACAAGAAAAAGCATAATTAATACTTCCCCAGAATGAAGGGACACTGCAGTTATAGAAAACGTTAAAGGTAAGATTTTAAAAGACAATGCAGGCTAAAGCCTCCAAAGATAAGGATGTCTTAGGAAAACTCTTTGAAAAATTTACTTGACAAATTTTACTTAAACAAAGAGCACAGAACATTCCCAAATAGACCCCACAAAGTCAGAAACAAAGAAATGGATTTTGCAGCATTTAAAAGAAAATCATGTAGAGATTTCAGACAGATGGTCTCACATGGCAGATCACTCCAATCACACTTACTCTCTTGATGAAACATTACTCTAAGAGGTTAACAACACTTCACTACTTCATGAGGAAGATAGTATAAGAAAGAAACAGGACAGAATACCTATGACTAAATATAAAGAAACCCATAACAAAACCACATCCAGAAGCTTATAAAATTGATCAGTAAGTTTTCCTTCCCTTCTTCCTTCCCTCCCTCCCTCCCTTCCTTTCTTCCTTTTTGGTTTTTAGTCAGGGTTTGTCTGTATTGCTTTGGAGCCTGTCCTGGAACCCGCTCTGTAGACCAGGCTGCCCTGTCATTGCTGGGAATTGAACCTGGGTCCTCTGGAAGAGCAGCCAGTGCTTTTGACTGCTCAACCATCTCCAGTACACTTATATGCTTTTTAGAAACATAATGTCAACTATGTATGTCAGGATGACCTGCAGTTTGCTTTGTGGTACAGGCTGGTTTTGAATTTGTGATGGTCCTTTTGCTACCTATGTGTTTGATTTAACTGTGTGTGTATGGCATGTGTGTCAGCACATGTGGGGGTACACTGGTATGTGTGCACATAGTCTATAGAAGCCCAAAGTTGTCATCAAATGTTTTCTTACTGTCCCCTTACTGAGGCAGGTCTAATGTTGGACCCAGAGCTTGCCACTTCCAGCTAGTCTAACTAGATGGCTTGTCCCTAGGATCTCCCATCTCTGTCTCCTGAGTGTGCCTGCCTGGCTTTAGGATGGAGTGAGAGGATCCAAACTCTGGCTCTCAAGCTTATGCAGCAAACGCTTCAGCCTCTGAGGCATCTATCCAGTCCTACAAATTGTTCTGTACATAGAAGCGTTCAGCAAGGCGGCTGGCAAAATATCAGTTGCATTCTTTGACTTTATTTATTTATTTATTTACTTATTTATTGAGAAAGGGTTTCTTTGTGTAGCCTTGGCTGACCTGGAACTCACTCTGTAGACTATGCTGACCTTGAACTTAGAGAACCATTTGCCTCTACCTCCTGGTGCTGGCTCTACTACCTGGCTCAGTTACATTTTTATACAGTAGCAATGAACAGATCATATATACACATACCACTTAATAACTGCAACAAAAAAAAAAGTGTAGCTGGGAACTGAGTTTTTATCTTGTAAGACACCCTGAAAATAGAGAAACATTACATCATAGTACTATAAAAATTTAAATTTTCTTCAAATTTGTGTATAGACTACAAAACTTTAACAGCAGGTGATCCAAAGCATATGGATGCCAAAATTCAGGTTAAAGAGCTTGCTTTAAGGTATAATGTATTATAAAGATAATGTGTTGTCACAGAGGCAGCCAAACAGACCAATGGTAACAATGACGTACACAGAATCACGAATACTTAGGGATGTAATAGTGAGATAAGTTATGGTAATCACAGAAGGAAGGGTAGACTGTTAAAATAAAGCACTAGTGAGCTTTCCACATGAAAAAAGAAAAATGAAATTGGACCTTGGTCTGGTCTGAATTTTCTGTCCTGAAAACTCACGTGTTGAACATCTACTCAATCCCTGCCTTTTTCGGCAGTGGACATGCGGTCCAGAAAGAGGATAGCCTCAGCCACACCTGCAAACACTGGATGCAACCAGGTGCTGGAGGAATGCTATGTATCATCAGCATCAGTTTTGACAAGCATTAGCCAGGTGATTTTGAGGAAGATGCTATGAGGCATTCCTACTGAAGAGGATCCATAGCTTCTGCCATTAACCTCAATAAATTGTGGGCACTGGTCAGTTAGCAGATAAGGGCAAATGTTACCAGGGACAAGAATGGAGGCACTACACTGCTGATATGGCGTGACTAGACTTCTGTAAAGTTCCAGAGATTGAGAAGCTCCAGAAACAGCCTCATCATGAAGTCCATTTTTTTTTTTTTTTTTTTCCTTTTCCCTTGAGACAGAATCTCACCATGCAGTCTTGGCTGCCTTGGAAGTAGCTATGTAGACCAGACTTAAATTCAAAGTCCACATGCCTCTGCATCCCTGGGATTACAGCAAGCCTCAGCACTTCTGGTTTCAAATTCTCCAGGAGAAGAGAGGTGAGAGAAGATTAAATGTGTCCTGGTGGCTTAAAGCCACACAGAGGTAGTTGATTTAAAAAATGCTATCCATTAAACCCAAAGAAATCAATTAATAAAAACTTAGTCCCTAATCCATAGCCGTTGGATGGTTGGGACTTTTGCCTCTGTTCTCATGAATGATGAGTGACTTTACAAAATTGTTTGACAAAGGCAGTTTGGTTCCCTTTTGCCTTTCTATCCCTTCTGTCACATGAGGACCCATTATCCACCATCTTCAAAGGATGGAGGAGGAAGGTACCATGTTGGAGATGAAGAACAGGCTCTTATCAGCTGTTATTCTGTTAGCACTTAAATCTTAGACTCTCAGTCCCCAGAACTGCAAACATACATTTCTGGTCTCTGTGAATCACCTGGGATATCTGTCACAGCAGTATAAATACACTAAGGCAGAAAATCCAACTAAAGATGGATTAAAAACTTAAGTATGAAAGGTAAAACTTGAAATGTAAGAAAATCAAAGGGAAAATATATAAGATGGGGGCTGATGTGGTGACACACATCTTGAACCCCAGCACTTCAGAGAAAAGGCAGGTATGGATCTCAGTTCAAGGTCAGTTTGGTCACACAGAGTTCTAGGGCAGCAGGGACACATAAAGAGACCCTGTTTTAAGACACCAAAGAATAAAACACCCAAACCAACACCCTTCCCTCAAAAAAAAAAAAAAAAAAAGAAAAAACAACACCAACTAAGAAGTAAAAAGATGTGACATTTAAATTAAGAACATATTATTAAAAAGTATTTTAGTTTAGTATTTTATTGATTGATTGCTTATCTGAGACAGGGTTTCTCTGTGTAGCTTTGGAGCTTGTCTTGGAACTCACTTTGTACTTTAATGAATAGCCATAGTAAACCAACCTAAAAGGCAAAGTCATCAGCTCAAAGGCATGCCTGTAGCTCATGCTCTCACTGGGTGTTAGACAAGCTCAGCTGTCTGTCTCTGTAAATGAGGTTGTGCTGGGATAGAGCCACATCCATCTCTCCACTCATGGCTCATGTGTGATTCCTTCTGAGCTGTAAGAGCTGAGCAATTTCAATGCAGACCTCATAGCCTATAAAGCTCAAAATATTTACTATGGCCCTTAACAGCAAATGTCTATAGTCCCTACTCTACCCATGTTTGAGTCAATGATGTTTACTCTATTATCATAGGATATACCTTAAATGTATTTTTCTTTATATATAAAATGGTATATCATTAAAAATCTCTAGAAAGATTTTTCTTTATACTGTATTAACTGGGAAATTAGTGCTTATGACTGTAAGTTACACACACACACACACTATAAAAATTGTTGGCCTTTCCCCCACTGTGTTCTATCAGATAGATGTTAAATTAACTTAGGAGAAGTATAAACACACAGAAGCCTGGTTCTTAGGAACATAGAACAGCACTAACAAATCAATACAATGCATACCTGCAAAGGTTAGCAGGCTTAGGATTTAATTTCTTGTTAAATCTGCCTGTATGGAAGGTATATTATTCACTTCCCTTTTAATATGCATTTCCTCTCAAGATCCTAGCCTAAAAAAAAGAAAAGTCACACATCTAAATGATTGCCTTCCCTGCAAAAGAACCAGCCATATCAATTTGTTTCATCAATGTATCTAGGGATAGCATACAGAGGGTAATAAGCAACTGCTCTTAGAAAACTCTACCAGTCTGAACAGCTGATCCTTACTGAGTCAGCAAATCCACAGCACAGGGAAGAGGTGGCAGAAGACGCTGAATTACTTCCTCAGTAAGGAGATCACCACAGTGGGAAATGAAGCTCTTGACAGCTGAAAACAAGAACAGACATTTACTCGGCACAGTGTAATTCAGCCACGAGACAGGAGTATTCAATTATGTGTAGCATCAGCAAGGTTACAGGGAAGTGTACTTAAAACAAAAAAAAGCAATCTTTGAAGCTCTAATCATAAAAAAGAAAGCTAGTATCTTCCATCTCTGTATTTTCTCAAGAATTTCCTGCTAGCCAGAACAGGTAGGTGCCTAACCCAATCGCCATCAGAGAGGCCTCAACAGCAACTGATGGGAGCAGATGCAGAGACCCACAGCCATACATTAGGCAGAGCTGGGGAAACCCCGTGGAAGAAAGGAAGAAAGGCTGTAGTAGCCAGAGGGGTCTAGGACGCCAGGAGAACATGTTCAACCTAGCAGGGCTCATAGGGGCTCACAGAGACGGAATCAGCAATCACAGAGCCTGCTTGGCTTTGTACTTGGTCCACTGCATGTATGCTATGTTTGTTAGCCTGGTGTTCTTGTGGGACTCCTGAGAGTGGGAGTGGGGTGTCTGACTCTTTTGCCACCTCTTGGGACCCTACTGGGTTGCCTCATCCCGCCTTGATATGAGGGTATGTACCTAGGCTTATTGTAAATTGTAAGGATTTGATTTAATTAGCCCCGAAGTTGGCCAGGAGATGAGGAGATATCAGTCAACCTACCACAGAGAGCACCAGCTCGGCCCTCCAGGGTTACTTGCCACGTGAATGAATCCCCTCGGCTTTTTTCTGTTTCTAGATCTTTGGGAGACACTGGAAAGACACACTTCCACAGCAGCAGAACTCGGGGAAGATGATGACTGACAACAGCAGGGCCTGCAAAAGGAACAGAAAGTGACTGAAGTTCTCAAGCAGAACAGTTTAATTCACAACTGTGATGTTTTGTATCTTTTTTGTTTTCTGGTGCCAGATGAATTTAGTATTGAGTTAATCACTATTAGAAGTGTTGCAAGAGGGAAAAAGAAACAAAGCTTTGGCTGGGGTGTTAACTTTCAGCTACTGTGTCTCCTGTGATAGATGCCTTTCAAGACATGGTACTATTGCTATAGCAACAAGTAACATTGTAACAATCCTCAGAAGGTTTTCTTTTTTAATTATATGCATATATGTATGCCTGTGCTTGGGTCTGCATATAAGTGCAGTTGCCCATGGAAGCCAGAAGAGGTTGCTGAATCCCTGAAGCTGGAGTTATAGGCAGCAGTGAGCTGCCCGATTATGGGAGGTGGAAACCAAACTCTGGTCCTCTGCTAGAGCAGTCCCTGTGTGCTTTTAAATGCTGAGTCATCTCTCCTGCCCCATAACTTCTTTTGCCTCATTCTTCCAAGGGCTGGTACTAGAGGTATAATGCTAACACATCTGGTTCCTAATGTTGACTATTATTGTTTGTTTGTTTATTTAGGAGTCTTTAAGTCTTATTTACTTTTATGTGTGTGAGTGCTTTGCCTGTGTGTGTGTGTGTGTGTGTGTGTGTGTGTGTGTGTGTACCAGGTGAGAGCCTGATGGCCTGTTGAGATCAGAAAGGGCACCAGATCCCCAGGAACTGGAGTGTGCCAGCTAGTTTTACATCACTTGGCACAAGGCAATCATTTGTGAAGAAGGATCCTAAACTGAGAAAATGCTCCCACTGGCCTGGCCTGTGGGAAAGCCTGTGGTATATTTTCATGATTGATGACTGAGGTAGAAAGGCCCAGTTCACTGTGGGTGGTGCCACTCCTACACTGGTGATCCTGAGTGCTGTTAGAAAGCAGGCTAAACAAGTCAGTAAGTAGCACCCCTGCATGGCCTCTTCACCAAGTCCTCACAAACTGTAAGCTGAAAGAAACCCTTTCCTCCCCGAGTTGCTCTGGCTAATGGTGTTTTACCATAGCAATAGAAACAATAACTAAGACAGTTACAAATGGTTGTGAACCACCATGTGGGTGCTGGGAACAGCACCAGGCTCCTCTGAAAGTATAAGCACTCCTAGCTTCTGAGCATCTCTCTAGCCTTCCAGTTTATTTTTGAGGTGCACTTGGGAGCTCAGACTGGCCTGGAACTCATGCCCTAGTCTCCCAGTACTAAGATTACAGGTATGTGTCACCCTACCAAGCTTCTCAGGGATAAGTGCAGATTAACAACTTGTTCCAGGTAAAAATTCAGAAGCAATTCAAGGCAATGAAAGGCTGATGAGACAGCTTGGCAGGTAAAGGTTCTTACTAAACAACACAAAAATTACCTTTGTTTCATCCTGAAAACCCACACGAAGGAGGCAAGAGATGGCCAACTCCAGAGTTGTTCTCCGACCCCCACACATGTGCACTCCTCACAATAATAAAGCAAACAACTTAAGGCAATATACAATGGATGATAATATCATTTGGAAACAAAACAAAACACCCTAGGAAGCATAAAAACTAAAACTCACAGCTTTTCTTCCCAAACAGTATTCTACAAAATTCCATGGTGGGTATGCATGTGTGTCTTTCTCTGTATTGAGAGTATGGAGGACTGCAGTGGGATTGTCAGGAGACTTCTGTTGGTTAATTCTGCTTCTGCACACTTAGATATGTAAACTTGGATGAATAGCTTAACTTTTTTTTGGCCTTAGTTTCCTCATTTCTAGTAAGAGAAACAACAGTATTTTCTTCATAGGAGTTTCCATGATTTAACAAGTTCATGTAAATAGTAGTACTAGCTCAAGGTATGCACTTATGTAATGTCTGGTGTGCAATTATTATGATGATGATGATTTGGCATTTTGCTTTCTACGTTTTGTTTTGTTTGGTTTTAGCTGTCCTGGAACTCACTCTGAAGACCCAGCTGGCCTCAAACTCAGAGATTTGCCTGCCTCTATCTCCTGGGTGCTGAGTTTAAAGATGTATAAAGCATCACACTCAAAGTAAAATAATTTAAAGAATCATTTGATTTGAAAAAAAAAAAAAAAAAGAATCAACTGGGAAGGAGATGTGCAATGCCTAGGGCATTTTATAATGCTAACAACTAGAGATGTCAGGTTTATATTAAGGACATGTAGCCAGCCAGGTGGTGGCGGCACATGCCTTTAATCCTAGCACTCGTGAGGCAGAGACAAGCAGGTCTCTGAGTCCAAGGCCAACCTGATCTACAGAGTGAGTTTCAGGTCTACAGAGTAAGTTTCAGGATAGCCAAGGCTACACAGAGAAACTCTGCTTGAGGGGGGGGGGGAGACAGAGAGTGCATATGAACAAACTGCAGAACCTCCAAGTCCTCCATCCAGCTGGTCAAAAGGAATAATAACTGCATTGACTTGAAACATGCAAACATAATATTCCATGAGTTTATAATGCTATTAGAAAGCAAAATCATCACTCACCTCCTTTAGAAGCTGCTAGGATATCATTTATTTATTTTTTTTGCAGTACTGGGTATACGCTCTCTACCATGAGTAAATCCCTAGCCCTAGGATTTTAGAATATTCTAAAAACTGATAACAAAGAAAATGAGTATGGACCAGGGAAATGGTTCAGTTGTTAACATTTGCATAACAAACATAAGGATCTATTTAGGATGCCCAGCATCCATGTAAAAAGCTGGGCATGGTGTGTGTAACCAGTGTGTGTGTGTGTGTGTGTGTGTGTGTGTGTGTGTGTGTGCGCGCGCGCGCTTGCATGCGCGCGCACGTGCACGAATGTGCGTGAGTGATCTCGTGTGTGTTTATGGAGCTGGCAGTCAGTTCAGCCAACAGTGAGCTCTAGGTCCAGTGGTATATAGTGCTTCTAAAGACACAGTGGAGTGGCTGAGATACCAGATGTCAGTCTCTAGTGTCCACATTCATGCTCACCTCCTCTACAACAAACCCAATAAACACATACAAAGGTGGGGGTAAAGACAAAAAAATAGAGCCCCAGAAAACACAGTAATTAAATATTCATAAAAATAACTTTATGTAGTGATTATAATATACAATAAAATACAATGTACAAATCAATCTCTCTCTCTCTTTCGACTAAACTCTTGTTTACTAGCCCAGGCCCAATCTTTCAAGGAAAAGAACATTGTATAACCTTCCTCAATGCAATGACACTGGATATAAAAGGTTTTACTAAAACACTGAATTTATCAGCCAAAGAGAAAATTCAGGGGTGGAGTTCTTGTTGCACATGTATGAGGGTTGGAATTTGAATCCCTGGACTCATGTAAGAGAGGGGAATGTCCCCATGGATGGAATTCATATCATGGAAAAGGAGGATCACCACCAGGTTTTGCTGATTGGCTGCCAGCTTAACAACAAAAAGCCCACAAGATTCAGGTTCAAAAAGAGATCCTGCCTCAAATGAAAAAGGGGTAAAAATAGAGGAAAACACCTGAGGTTCACTAAGGTATCTGCATCTGAACACGCACATACATAGGTATGCACCCCTACACACACCCATTTTAAGTAACTTAATGGAGGTGGGTGGTCTGGAAACATGGCTCAGCTGCTCTTCCAGAGGATCCAGGTTTAATTCCCAGCACCCACGTGGTGGTTCACAACTCTTTCTAACTACAGTTCCAGGTGACCTAATACCCTCTTTCTGGCCTCCACAGGCAGCAGGCATGTACATTGTACACCACAACCCCCCCCCCCAAACACATACAGTGAAAAAGCATGCACATAAAATACAGTAGCAAATAACTTATTTGGAGGGTGGGCTGGAGAGATGGCTCAGTAGTTAAATGAATTGGACACTCTTCCAGAGGACCCAGGTTCAAATCCCAGCACCCACATAGCAGCTCACAACCATCTGTAACTCCTTTTCTAGGAGATTTAACACCCTCTTCTGGCCTCTGTAGGCACCAGGCATACATATGGTATATAGACATATCTGTATACAAAATGCCTATACACATAAAATAAAACAAAAACTTACTTTCCCATTTAACCCATCAGCACCATCAGCATGGCAGAAACAGCACCAATCACCAAATAAACATTGCAACATGATGATCTATTCTAGGGAGCAACAGTCTCTTTTGTAAAACCTTGGACTTCCTGAGCCACTCCACACATTGCTGCCATTATCCAGCTCCAAGACTGCAAATACTTTAGGGAGTAAAGGAGTAATGTTTGCCTGGTTACTTTTTTGTTTGAGACAAGATCACCCTATGCTGCCCAGACTTGTTGAACTTTTAGGCTACTTCTAGGCTGCAGTGATTGGTTTGTGTCAGGTATCTTTTGGTGGTGTTTTTTCAGACAGGAAGGGTCTCACTATGAAATCCTGGCTGGCCTGCAATTATGAAGCCATGTCTGCTGTGGAACTCACAGAGATCCACCTGCCTCTGCCTCCTGAGTGCTGGGATCAAAGGGGTGCACCACCACCACCGGCCCCCTTAAAGCCAGTATAAGATAAATGTTTGTGTGGTTATTTGAATTCTGATATACACTAAAAGCAGCCCCTAGATCCAGAAAACAAAGTCATGTCATCATTACAGAAACCCTCCAAGGAACTGTTACCTAACGTCATAAGAGCAGCAATCAGCAACCATCCCGCTTGTGTGCGTTGAAGTGACAGGCGGCTGTTTTGAGCAGCAGAACACAGCAAATCCTCTGCCAGTGCCATGATTATCTGTGTATATACAGAACAAAGCAATAAAAATCAGCTTACAAATTGGCAGGCAAGTGAAAGAAACTAATTACAGTCTCTTGGAAAACAGGCTCTGATGATAAAGCACAACAATGGCCGACTGTGCAGGCTACACGATAGATAGCACACAGTAAACAATTTTAAGTTTTCAAGGGTAACTACTAGAAGATTAAACTGGACACAGATAGTCACAATTGTTTGTGAAGCACAAGTGACAACGCTGTAGGCTACTCAAAATGTACCTGTCTAGAATTCTCATTTACTTGCTTTACACAATTAACCTCTTTGGTCAGTAATAGCTAAAAAAAGTTTTATTACATAAGTTTGCCTTAATAAAATTCTACATTCAAACTTGATACCTTAAAGGCTCATAATGTCCTCCTTTCAAAAGCAGTGGAGCAGGATCCCACCAAAATGTTGTATTTTAAAAGTCTCTAAATAAAATGGTGTAAACAACAGAGAAATAACCAGGCATTCACATGTGTGTATGTTTAAAGGATACCGAGCCTGAGAAAGCATCTGCTACCAACCACCCCTGGACAGAGGTAAGCATAAGAGCTGTATATACAGCTCCTAAAGGACAGTTCCTATAGGCTAAGCACAGCCTCTACAGTTAACAGATAACACACTGAAAGGAAGGCCAAATGGCCATGTTAGTCAAATCAGGACAAGTGGGCATTTCTCAGGAGAAATTTCACATTTGAAGTCAGAATTAATGAGATTTGAGGATAATTAATCCACAATGACGATAATGTGTTAGTTCCCATTATAACTAAAAGAGGAGGGGCTGGAGAGATGGCTCAGCAGCTGAGAGCACCTACTGCTCTTGTAGAACACCCATGTTCAGTTCCCAGCTCTCACATCCAGCTTACAATCATCCATAACTACACCTTCACGGGATCCAACACCCTCCTCTGACCTCCACGGGCACCAAGCATGAATGAGGTGTGAATATATACACATAGGAAAAGCACTCGTACATATAAGATAAAAATTTAAAAGGTACTTCACCAAGATGTCAACTCGTTTATTACAATGCCACTGATGATACTAAAGATCTGTTTGAAAATTTTGAAGTTGTTATACAGGATATATTATCTAACTCCTTAACAGAACCCTGACTCCTTTTGGAGGGGGTGAAAAAGCATTTCATGTCTCAGTTTCACCACTACGGCATTCCCTGCTACTGGTAAGTACCGCTTTTCAGGCATTTAGTAGAAAGAATGAGGTTGTAAGACAAGTTCATAGTGATAATTTCAATTTAGTATATGGGCTTTTATTTAACTTTCTTGATTCTATAACTATAGCGCTCTTTTTTCTTGGCTCATAAAAATTATTTATCTACTTTATACAAGTATTTTTAAACTAATTTAGAAGTAAAAACACCAATACTGACAATGGACACTCAGGTTTTTCTTTCATAAGTCAATTTGTCCTTTGCTTTTTTTTTTTTTTTTTTTTTTTTTTTTGGGACAGGGTTCCACTAAATAATTCAGGCCACTGGCCAACTCCTGATCTTTTTTAATAGCCTTACAGGTGAATGGTATTTTAAAGGGCAAGAGATGTATATACTATTGAGAACCTGAGTATGCAGTGGGATTTTAAATAAACATACATAGCATGACTAGCATGCTGCAAATTCTGGTATTACACAGAGATACTTCTAATAAAAGCCCCTGTGGGGTCAATGCCAGGACCTGTGCACAGTAGGCAAATACTCCCTGTGAGTTACCCATTCTAGGTCAGAAAATATTCCTTGAGAAAAGTGAGGACAACCATCATTTTCCAGAGAGACTGTTGCTAGTGTGCAACTTTAGGAATAATCAGGCAACTGCTTGAGACAGCTGCCCCACATGACTTCAACTGGGCACATACCAATAGCAATCCATTTTCAGGAAAATCTGAACATGCTACCACATGGAGAATGAAATCATTACCTTGCCCTTTCCATGAGGAATTCCTAAAGGACAGTGTGTCACCGCACCTAGCAAGGCTGCCACTGCAAAACTAAAGCCAGTCACTGCTTCCGGTGAAGACTTCAGAATGGTGATCCGTTCTAGGCATCGGTCTAAGAGAGGTGTCAGCTGGGAAGGCAATGCCACAGCAATGCAGTGCAAGCACCAGGCTGCTGCGAGCCGAACAGAAATGCTGGGGTGGAGAACCATTGAAACAACACTGTCCAGAAGGCCTGCAAGCACAGAGCGAAACACATGGCTTCTGTATACAGAAAACTCATTTAAGCCACAGGACAGCCAGGACACTGGATAGCCGCCCGTATATAAAATATACCACTTCTATGAAAAGCCAATTTACAGTGAAAAATGTGAGATGTAATTGATTTTGTTTGCTTGTTTTTTTGTAACTGGGTTTTGTGTGTGTGTGTGTGTGTGTGTGTGTGTGTGTGCGCGCGCGCGCAGTAACTGTAGCTGTGCTAGAACTCACTCTGTAGACCAGGCTGGCCTTGAACTCACAGATATCCGGCTGCCTTTGCCTCCTGAGTGCTGGGATTAAAGGTGTGTATTACCACCATCTCTTGGCCAAAAGAAAACTTATTTCTTGATGTTTTTCCTACTTTACCTTGAGTTCATTAGTAATTCAGTATTGTGCTAGGAACTAAAACCAATACAGGACAAAACCAACTTGAAAAAGTCATAGCTTGTCCTACCCCCCTTAAAAAAAAAAGATGATTTTTGTTAATTTTAATTATGTGTGTGCTCATGTGAGCATAGTGCCTTCAGAGGACTGAGGCCCTGGATACCCTGGAGCTGGAGTGACAGGAAGTTGTCAGCGGCCTGACATGGCAGCTGGGATGGAACTTGAGTTATGCTCTTAACCTCTATGCCATCTTCCAGCTTACTTATGCCTCTAAAAAAGTTAAAATATCTCTAGCACATTACAGACACGGCAAAATACTTATCTACTGCATGGCTTTTAACTGACAGCAAATCTGAAAATTAAGGTTTCACCAGGACCTCAGTGGTCTAACCCAGGAACTCACAAAACAATGGAGCACATGAACAGCAAACACGTTTCTATTTATTACAATTCAAGACAGACCTTCTTTGAAACATGAACCAACTGCTATAGAAATTTAAAGAGTTTACAAACAAAAATATGATGTAAACACAAAGGTACTCAGCAGGAATAATGACAAATAATAAAGCCAAAAAAGGATAAAACAAACAAACAAACAAACAAACAAAAAACACCAGCCACTAAAGACCACATCTTATAGGATTTCGTTGAGACCAAATGTCCTAAGTAGGAAAACTGACAGAACTGTTGAGTAGATGAGTAGTCATCAGGGGCAGGGAGGGGCTGGTGGACATAGCCTTTGACAGATTCTCTTTTGGCATGATAAAAACATCCTGCAGTTAAGCAGGGGTGGTGGTCATACAACTGTGAACTCACAAAACCACTGAGTTGCATAAAGAAGTGAACTTCCTGTTATCTGAAGATATCACAATGTTGACAAATTATTCCCAAAGGCAGAAAATTATTTTCAAAGAGAAATAAAGACTCCTTGTTAAATAAAGATCTCTGAGGTACCCTACAGATAGTGAGGTTTCCATTGCAGGGGAGAGAGGGCCAGACTTTCTTCTCTCGAAGTTTTTCCACTATTGTAAACGTCTTCAGAAAGAGGAATGAGGAGAGTTAGAAAACCACCCTTTTATCTTTTTGTAAAGACAGGACCTCACTAGGTAACATTTGCCTTCTTAATGCTGGGATTATAGGTGTGCGCCTCACCACACCTTGCCAGAGAACAACCTTTAACTAACTAAAAAAAGGCAAAAAAGACAAACCACCAAATCCAAAAATCCAGAAAGTCCCTCAAACATCCATCCATCCATCCAAGATTTATTTTGTGTGTGTGTGTGTGTGTGTGTGTGTGTGTGTGTGTGTGTGTGTGTGTGTGTGTGTGTGTGTGTTATGTGTGAATGTATGTGCAGGTGCCCTCAAGGCCAGAAGAGGGCACCGGATCCCTCAGAGCTAGAGTTAACAGATGGTTGTAAGTCACCAGATACGGTTGTTTGTATGTTTGCTCCAGCTTATTTATATGAAGGAGATTTCTTCCTCAAGTACAAGTGAAACAGTTTGGAGATGGTCACAAACAACAGATCTACCTGTACTGGAATCCTGTAGCAAAGGTGCAGCTGTAGTGCCGAGACTGTGTATCAGATTTCCAAGTTCCTGTAATGCACAAACCAGTGTATGCTGGCTGGCTGCTACATCCGTGGAACTGAGCCGGGTTTCCAAATTACCATCACTCAATACAGCATCTGACAGAAACACAGGAATTACTTATGCATCCCTTTTATAAACATATATCATAGGAAGTCAGTGTTAGGAGTAGAAAAGCCTAAGAGCCACAGTGAATATATGGTATGTCTACCTAATCAGCAGAAGACCCTTGGGGTGGTGAGTGGAATGTTTAAATTCAAAAGCACACATAGAAGGAACTGACCTTGAACTCAGATCTAAGAATTATTTTTTTTAGACCATTGTTTTTATTTTCTTACATATCTGAGTATTTTGCAACACACATATACTTGGCACCTGAGGTCAGATGAAGGTGTCAGATCCCTTGGGACTAGAGTTACAGACAGTTACGAGTCACCACATGGGTGCTGGGAATTGAACCCAGGTCCTCTGCAAGAACAAGTACTCTTAGCCACTGAGCCAACCCTCTAGCCTCTGAACTAAGATCCGATTCAAGCAACATGACCAGATCCCTTGTTACTCTGTCAGCTATACAATGAAAAAGAAAACTCAGGATTAACACTTCTCCATCTTTTAGCTAAGACCAAGTGTAGGAAAATTCAGGGTGATCAGAGTGGACAATATATAACCTGAAATAGGTAGCCTGCTTAAAAAGAGCAATTTTAACTTGTATAGGAACCATTACATGAATTCTGAGGAGCTGTCATGAGCAGCCTTTAAGGTCTTTGTTTCAGGACCGGAAAGGTGGTTGGTTCAGTGGTTAAAAACATTTGTTGCTTTTCCAGGGGACTGAGTTCCCAGCACCCAATGGGTGGCTCACAACCACTCAGGCTTCAGGGGATCTAATGCCATCTTCTGGCACTCCACAAGCATGTGTGCACACAGCACACATGGCCATGGCTATACATACACATGAATAAATAATAAACTGTTTTTTTTTTTTTTTTTTTTTTTTTTAAAAGGTGTTTGTGTTGATACAGTAATAAAACAGCATTGCTTTTTCAAAGGGGTGGTTCCTCTGTTACTGGTAAGCCAGACTTTTAGCAGATCCATACCCACAATTTTCTTCAGCTTCCAGATGGCCTGGCAGATATCCTTTGCAGCAGCAATTTGAGCCTTTTCTCCAAGAAGGCCTCCTATAGTCGCTCGAAGGATAAATGAAACACAACGGCGACAGCAGACAGCATCAATCTGAGTTTGGGTGGCTTTAGAATTCAACTGTGACACAAGGCTTAGGATATGAGAAAGAAAGATAGCAAAGTTCTTCTCTAGCCAAGCTCCTCCTAACGTTGAAACAAATACCACGTAAGCCTAAAAAGAAAGCAATTTCATCTTCAAAATTTAATCATTTCAGTTACAAATCAACACTTTTTATTTCCCCTACACATTGTATTCCTTTCTGACTTAGTCATTCGATACATGCTAGTGTAGCATTAGTTTTTGTTTGTTTGGGGCAAGACTGAAGCTACAGTCTTTCAATGCACACTCTACATGTTGCACCTCTGTTCTACTTTGGTCAGGCTCTGTTTAATGTTCAGCAGACAGATGTTGCCAGGGATTTTGTAAAACACGTCCCTGGCTTCTAGAAAAAGGCTTCAAGCTATTTAACCTTCCTAGGAAGCAGGCTGAATTCTATCAGCTACACTCCAATACCATACTCCAAAAGGATTGTTCTAGACACCTAAGGAGAGTTTGCAGTGACGATCTTGCTGCCCTTTATCTCTACGAGGGCTCATGGTGGTAGTCCAGATGCAAAGACAGTAGTCTTCTCAAGTATACATGACAAGAAAACAGTTTATAGTCACACTGGGGAACTCGCAAGTTCACGAACTCCGTATACAGCACAATCCATCGGGACACAATTTATTTTAAATTGTTTATTTAAAATCTTCAGCAGTCACTGACTTCATTTTGGCTGGACTCAGTAAAATTTAGGGATCTAGCAAGGATCTTATACGTGGCAGGCAAGTGCCCCTGCTTGCTGAGCTTCACGTCCACTCCCACGCGGACTTCCCAAATCATGACACTTAGGGAAAAGATGGCATGGGAGGGTGCAGTGCCTTTGCATTGTTTTTTTTTTTTTTTCTTTTCTCAGAAACCTTTCCAAGAGTTCAGCTTTAAAATTTGTGTTTAGGACAGAAAAATCACCCAGCAAAAATATAGACTGCATGTCATAATCTTTTGTAGGAGTTAAAAAATCATATAAGACATTATGTTAGCACATTAAATAATAAGTACTAATATTTAAATCGTACTGCATGAACATACATAAACACAATGGAAGAGATGTTAAGCCATAAGATACACGACAGCATCAGGAGAGGAAAAAACGGTTATGATTTAAAGGAAATAAGTAAAGCCCCTTACTAAAAATTAAAATCATATTTGCATTACAAGACTCTCTTCACTTGTAACCTTGTTTTCAAAAAATGTTTTAGCAATACCACATCTATCTGTAAACATGAGCATAACTAGTAGCCTTGCACTGTGGAGTCAGACACTAAACTGTCACTGTAGGCCAGCGGGATTATGTGTGGGTAACTGACTTGTGACTCTGACCTGAGTAACTCCAACTCGAACGTCCCTGCTGACTGAACTGCTTCCTTTCAGCATATCTCCACTGGCTCGAAGGAATCCTGAACTCCCACGCAGAAACCCTGTTCCCAGCAATTCCAGAACTTCCTCCACAGAGACTCTGCGAGCATTTTGCCTCAAAGCTCCTATGACAAAGAACAAAACAGCAATTCATATTTTAAAGATTAAATTTTAATGTGCAATCTTTATTTGTTTGGGCTGGAGATCCATCCAGGGACTTGTACATGCTAAGCACACGCTCTGCTGCTGAGCTGTCCCTCCAGTTACATTTAAACACAGCCTCTATATGCCAAAAGCAAGCATACTGACAGAGAAGTAAAATCCAAATGTAATGCAAAATCCACAGCAGACTCTACACATTAATGAACAAAAAAGTCACGTGATGATTTAATGGTCCATCAGAATGAGCCCCAGAAGGGCTGGGAATATACTGTGCAGTACAATGCTGGTCTAGAACATGCAGAGCTGTAGGTTCAATCCTTAGCTCCCAGGAAAAAGTTCAAAGTGCTCTTTCATGGACATCCTACAGTCTATGAAACTTTACGATCCTGCTCCACTGCTTTCTCTCAAAACGAGAGAAAACATAAACAAACATGCATCATCACAAATGAAAATGCACTAATGCTCTGAGAGTCTGAAATACTAAGAAGGGACTGGAGAGATGCTGCTCTAGCAGAGAACCCAAGACTGGCTCCCAGCATCTACTTCAGGTGGCTGTAAGTAACTTCAGCTCCAAGAGATCCAGAGCCCTTTGCGGCTTCTGCAGGAACTGCATTCATAGGCACCAACTCCCACACATATACAACATACTATTAAAAATATAAGTTTAAAAAAAAATCTTTAAAAAACAGAAATACTAAAGAAACCAAAACATGAATTTTTCAACTGTTCTATAACTTTTAATGAAATTTACATAAAGTAGCTTTCTTTTTAAAACTTCTCAACTGGCAAATACAACTTTTATTATTTCATCAGTCTCTTAAACAAAATCTTAGTTATCATTACAACTACCCAATTAGCTCTTAGGCTTTAACAATTAAAAGGCCACTTAGGGCAGGAATTCAAGCCTGTCTTTTGTCTGATACTTGTGAATTTCTCATTATGAACATCTTGAAAACTAAAATCTTAAAAACACTCATTTTCTCTTGCCATCTGAAAACTAGTGGTAAAAAGCTCAGATCCCATAAACTCAAACCATACAGTAGCAGAGAAATTAACTCTCATTAAAATCTACTCTAGAGCCTGAAGAAGAGAAAACTACCAGAAGCATATGAAAATTTATGTTGGAATCTGGAGAAACACTAGTAAATGATACAAAACAAACCCTCTTCCCTGTGTGTCCAAATAAGACACAATCTACTGTCCATCAAACAGTGACTTGCCACAGAGCAGAGAAGGCGATGGTGTGATTTTTGATAGACTCACTGAAAGGGCAATGGGAACAAAGTGAAAATGTGCACATCTGGAAAACAGTCTTGAGGCTTTTTCTTTTAGGTACTGAGTTCGAGCAGAGCAGTGTGGATGGAGCCATGAAGGTCAGAGTAGAAGACAGGGAGAGAGCACAGCACAGAGAGAGAACTCATTGACGGTGTAGATCACTACAGTGAACCAGGTGACACCAGGATACAGAGAGGGCACAGCCAGGAGACAGAACCACTACACGTGACTTGTAAATTCAAGCTAAGGGACCAAGGTGAGTCAGGGAAGGGGAGTGTGGGTCTCAGACGATTACATCTGTGACATTCTGATTTTTAAAAATCTCTCCAATTACAAAATTAAAAGAAAGGAAGGAAGGAAGGAAGGAAGAAAGGAAGGAAGGAAGGAAGAAAGGAAGGGAGGAAGGAAGGAAGGAAGGAAGAAAACTGCAAGAAGGGTATAGTCAACTTCCAAACACTTTGTACCCAGGCTCCTCATAGTTCATTCTTTTCTCACTTTGAAGAATAGATCTCTGGCCAGTTGTTTCATAGAATAGCTCTGATTTCAGCAAGTCTGGTATTTCCTCGGAATTCTGGCAGAGAAGCACTTAATGTAATTGTTTCTCTCAGGAGCTTAGCTTTGAACATCTGAGTAAGTTAGCCTTCTCGATGTATCCACCATGAGAGTGTCTGAGAGTACTTCCATCCAAAAAACCTGTGGGAATACCTGGGTTGACTGTTACTACAATTGCAGAGAGTCCTTTCCGTCCTCCTTCCTTCTGCAGTGGCCACCATGCCTTCTCCCAACTGCCCTAGATTCAGCATGGACTCATAGATCCCTTTATCCAACAGGTTATGTAAGTTCCTGTCACTATCCATTTTGATGCTAACCCTGCCCTGGGTCTGACCAGGAGACAGCTCTCTACAACAAAGAACCTCCCTGGTTTTGGCCCAAGATGCTCAAGGCTCATCCTGAACTTTCTATGCTCCACCCAGAACTAAGCATGCTCAGAGCCTCAAGTCTGCATGCACTTATAGCTCAGCTCAACAGATGCTCAGTGCCAGGGGAGTCAAAGGTGACCCATGAAATTTGGACTAAGTACCTAGAAGGAGGGCTCTAGGGATACAGTGTTTGCCTAGCATAGACAAAGCCCTACGTTTCATGCCCATGCCCAGTGCTGGATATACTGGACATGGCAGGGCACAAGTCCCAAGATAAAAAAAAAAAAACCTAAAACCAGAAGCACTGTACAATTCAGGCATCCCATTTGTGAATATTTACTTAAAAGAACTGAAGCCAATTGGGATTCCAAAGTATGATGGCTAATCTTGGTTGTCAATTTGCCTACAAGTGGAATTAACTAAAACCCAAGTAGCTGGGCACACTTGCAATAGGAAATATTCCTTTATCCTGTGAGAATATGTGTTGTTGTGATTGGTTTAATAAAGAAGCTGACTAGTCAATAGGTGAACAGGGTATAAGGTTAGGTGGGAGAGCTACACTGAGAATGCTGGGGGGGAAGAAGGGTGTCACCAGCAGAGGCAGAGAGAAGATGGGCAAGCCGTGCTGAGAAAAGGTACCGAGACATGTGGCACAGTGTAGATGAGAAATATGGGTTAATTTAAATGTAAGAGTTAGCAAGTAACAAGCCTGATCTATTGGCTGAGCATTTGTAATTTGTAATTTGTAATATAAGCCTCTATGTGCTTATTTGGGAGCAGCTGATGGCACAGAAAAACTTTGCCTACATTGTGAGGATTTTTCTTATTTGGATTATTTGAGGTGGAAGACCACATAAAAAGACACTGAAGAAGGAAGGCTTTGCTTTCTGTGTGCCCTCATTCTTATTGGCAAGTTCATCAACCCTATTGCCGAGCCATTTCCTTCACTGGTGTTAGAACCTTCAGGCCTCCAATGTAAACTGAAAACTGGCAGTTCTCTAGGATCTCCCTGGGACTCCAGACTGCCAAGACATCCACTCTTGTGGACTGAACAGCTACCAGATCCTGCCTTTCTGCTAGAAGACAGTCATTGTTGAACTACTTGGACACAGGCTACACAGCCTGTAAGCCACTCTAATAAATCCCTTTTTAATATATATGTTTATTTTATCACATCTATTTCTCTAAAATACAAAGAGATTAGTACTCTCATATTTACTGCAATACTATTCTCAATAGCTAAGATATGTGTGGGAACAATCTAAACAACCATCAACAGATACACACAATAGAATAAACACAATAGAATAAAATTGAGTCTTCAAAAAAAAAAAAAAAAAAAGGATTATGGAATGTATGACAAAACATGCATAGATTTTAAGAACATTATATAAAAAGTGAGTCAGGCCATGGCTGCTCAAGGGCACACAGCCCTGGGTTTGATCCCACAACTGCATAGAACTGGCATGATGGCACATGCCTGTGCTCCTATGCAGGAGAATCAGATGCTCAAGATGATACTTGACTGTATAACAAGTTCAAGGCCAGCACCACACCTAGCCAACATTCCCTTTTTAAAGCAGAGTAAAGCACACATTGTTTGGATTTCTTCCTCTAATTTTTTACTGAATTGTTTGAGACTGACAGACCTATAGCATTGCTCATGAGCTGCCCTGATTCACATTCTGTTTTTCAAATATTAAGGATGGGTAGCTGTAATGCTACCTGTATTTATCAACAGAGAAGAGTTAAAGAAGACACTGAAAATAATTAAACAAACTTACCCGCTCCTGGATGCTTAGCAAGTACAGCTTTAGCCAACACTGAGCCCAGTAGCTTTGAAACTGAAATCCTCACATCATAATTGGAACCTTCAAAGGACTTAAAACACAGTGTGGCCACACTGTCCAGGTCTGTGCTCCACATGAAGACAGCCTCATTCTGGAGCTCAAGAAGACACTATGGAAATGTGCATGCAAATTAACAACAACAACAACCAAAAAAACCCCACAAAATATAAATGTCAGGTTCAGATATGTGTAAGCTGTAGAAATATAATGGTTTAATAAAAGCACAATTTCACAGTATTTTATATGTTTATAGGAAAAGCCAAGAACTATTAAAACTCATATATGCTAGTAAAAACAAAAAAGGTGAGTGGACAATCCCCTTCTAATTCCAGAACACATTTAAAAAAAAAAAAAAACTCAAAAACCCCCCAAAAAACAAACAAAAAACCTTTAGAGTCAACTAAATATGACAACTGTGGTAGTGATTGAAGCAATAATAAATGACTCCACTGTACTGCCCACTCAGCCATGTCAAGGATAACTTTTTAAAAATGAAAATAGTCTGGAACAATAACAACATTAACATAACATGTTTAGTTCACACATGTAGAGAGGGGACACATGCAATCAGAATGCATGTGTGAGTGTGGAAGCTTGACCTTCCTATCCTGTCAGTGCATACGGTAGAGCTGTGAACCTTGGGAAGTCCACCCATCCCTCTGGCTTGCGGTTCCTCACGTGTCAGCACCAGACCCTGTGAGCTGAATCCCAAGGCTATAGTTCTAACTCCAAGGTGGCTGAGCCTAATGCCTTCAGGGCAGACTTCTCTCTTCGTACACAGTTTAGGCAAGTGGCAGTTACAGTTTTACCTTGGCAGCAGCACAACGGACAGCCATGGACCTGTCTGTTAAGCAGGACCGAGCAGCTTTGTAAATATCCCTGTGGCAAGGTGCCCCAGCGGCACCCAGTCCAGTCAGTATACTCTGCAGACTCAGCATGATCTCGTACCGGCCTTGAGACTGCCAGGGAGCAAAGAGCAATGTAAGGAACAGAAGGAACAGGGAAACTCCACACAGAGGGTACACGAAACACTGTGCTTATTTTAGATTTAAGAAAATGCACGTTTCTTTATGTACTGACTTGTTCTAACATTAAGAAATACCAACCAGCTGTGGTTGTGCACATCTTTAATTCCCAACACTCGGGAGGCAGAGACAGGTAGATCTCTGGTAGTTCAAGATCAGCCTGGTCTACACAGCGAGTGCCAGGACAGCCAGAGTTACACAGAAAAACCTTGTCTTAAACAAAACAAAACAAAACAAAACAATCCCCCTCCCAAACCAAACCAAACACTAACCATTCCATTTTCTATTTAAAAAGTACTATCTGTACATATTTCATCTCAATACAATAGAATCCAAGCACTCTATGAGGCTCAAACCTGGGTACAGCTCTACCTTAGATGAGAACTCTTGTCTAGCATTCACCAGGTTCTGCATTCAATCTCACCACAAAGAGGGGGGAGGAGAGTGGACAGATAACTCATCGGTTAAGTGCACTGGGTGCTCTAGCAGAGAACCCAGGTTCAGTTCCCAGCACCCATTCACAAGCATCGATAACTCTAGTTCCATGGGATCCAGTCCCTCTTCTGGCCTCCAAAGAGCCCCAACCAGGCATGCATATGGTACACATACACACGTGTAGGCAAAACACTCGCACACACAAAATAAAAATAAACAACTCTTAAACACACTCGCACACACGTACCCTACTGAGTCCTTTTAGAGCTTGCTCATATGCATGACGTCAGGGCTGACACTTGGTACTGGATAACAAATAGGGGTTCAATGCTTCTCTCAGAGTTCTCTCTCATCAGTTGTATAAATTCTTTGTCTAGAGGTGGGGTCTGTTAAGCATTTCCCCTTCCATGAATAAAACCAAATTTATCCATGTAGAAAGCCTTCCCAAACATCATCAATCTCTTGGAAGACACTGCTGAGAAGTAATCTGCTTGTAGATCCCTCACCAGTTTGCTAATGCAGACTTCAGACCTTAAGGTTTTGACTCTAGTGCAAATCTTAAATTTAATGGTTTGTTTTTTATTTCCTTATGTTTTGTCTTGTTACATTTCAGAAATGTGAAGTTGGCCTATCTTTCTTTCTTTTTAGTTTTTTGAGACAGAGTTTCTCTGTGTAATGACCCTAGCTGTCTGGAACTTGCTTTGTAGACCAGGCTGGCCTCCAATTCACAGAGATCCATCTGCCTCTGCCTGCAGAGTGCTGGGATTGCAGGCGTGCACCACCAGCGTCCAGCTCAGCCTATCTCAATGACTTCAGAGCTATTTTCTAGACAGCTTCTCTAACGAAAGAATAACTGTTGTGCTCTTTTAGCATTATACCCTAAATATTAGGGATTTAATATTTAGTCCTAAATATTAGGACTTAAATTTTTTATTAACATATGAATTTAATTTTAAAAACTGGTAAAACTATAGTTGTTGAAGGATTATAGGATCCTGGAAGTTAGATTTAGTTGGCCTTAAAGACCAAAGGTGCTCCGGGGAGTAACGCTGCAGTATCAGGAGGAAAAAGCTGCCGCTATACTCCGTGGGCCTGGCGTTAAAAGGCCCTCTAGGCCCCAATGCCCCACCCCCATGCTCTTTCCCTCCAGCTACACACTGCTTATTTCTTCTCAATGCCAGGATAACAGTTAATATATTTTCATACATATTCTAGATATATTGAATTTACAGATAAAGTTACACAGATATCTTTGCATGCTTAATAAAAAACCTTTTATTAACTCCAGAAAGCACAATCACATAGGATGTTCTCATGGTGTTCTTCAGTTGCTCTTACCTCTGCACTCTTCATAGCCTTAAGAATATTGCCCACTGTATCGCTAAAGGCGTTAGCCAGTATTCTACCCAACTTCTTGTACAAGGAACCCAAGCACACCACAGCAGCACTGAAACAACATTTAAATAGAAACAAAGTCACGACCACGGAGGAAAGGTGGTGGCATAAACATCTTAAAACTATGCAAACAAATGTGGCTATTAAGACTTCTACCAGTCTGGTGGTTCTACTTTTACTTTTTGGGGAGTATCCTCCGACATTAAAACTTGTGAGTTGCCTGACTATGGGTGCTAGGAACCCAACTGAGGTCTTCTGGAGAGTAGCTCACACTCTTAACCACTGAACCATCTCTCCACCTCCTTAAAATGCTTTTAACTGTGATGACGTACCACTCATTGATATTTTCTTTTGTCTTAGTTTACTACTAAGAACTTAATAAAATAAACAAAACCTGAAGAACTAGAAATACATCCTTAACATTCATCAGCCAAAAATTTAGGAAGACATTTTCAATCTCAAAGCTACACTTGCCATGTCTTAACTAGTCATTGTTGTTGTTGTTGTTGTTGTTATTAATTACATGCATCTGGGATTGAAGCCAAGGCCCTTTGTGCATGCTACACCATGAGTGACATTCCATCTTATTCCTGTTTTTTTAATTCAGGGCCTTCTGAATGCTAGGCATGTGTTCTATTCAGTTATAAATCCTTAGCCCCTAATTTCTTCAAAGAATTATTTTATGTGTATGGGTCTTTTGCCAGCTTGTATGTATGTACCCCACATGCATTAAAAGAGGGCACTGAACCCCCTGGAACTGGAGTTGTAGTTGATGGATGCTGAGAATGGAAGCTGGGTCATCTGCAAGAGCAACAAAGACCCTGACCACTGAGCCATCTCCACAGCTCCCCTAAAATATGTTTAAAAGGACTTACTTGACAGGAAAATTCTGTGGGTTTTTTGTTGTTGTTTTGTGTTTTCAAGACAGGGTTTCTCTGTGTAGCCCTGGCTCTCCTTAACTTGCTCTATTGACTAGGTAGGCCTCAAATTCAGAGTCGCCTGCCTCTGCCTTCCAAGTGCTGTGATTAAAGGTGTATGTCACCACTGCCCAGATAAATGTTGTTATTCTTATTGATTAGAAATCAAGCAGGGGATGGTGGCAAAGGCCTTTAATTCCAGAACTTAGGAGAGAGACACAAGAGGACCTCTTTGAGTTCAAGGTAAGCCAAATCTACATGGGGAATTTCAGGATAGCCAGGATTACAAAGAGACCTTGTCTCATAAAACAAAAATTAAAAAGAGAAAAATCAAAATGAATTTATGCTCACTTTCAAAATAAGTGTTAGATAGGTTATAATGTTTAACTTACAGTTTGGTGGGAAGGTAACTTGGAGAGTCATCTTTGCTACGAATAAGATCATTGCATTTATCGATTGTCTCATAAACAGAAAATGTGTCTCCAATACTATAAAGTATGGCTAGATTCTGAGCAAGGAGCTTTCGTGTGGGAGGCCCCGGGGAGCTGTTCAGTAAGGATAAGAGCTGTTCAACAAGAGTCTTCTGCTTCTCCCTCACATCGCTCTACAAAGGAATTAAAAAAGACAATAGAAAGTTAACATAACTACCTGTGACTGCCCAGCACAAATCTTCCCTAGGAAAACTCTATATTATTCTGAATTCAGGTTACAAGTAAGTTGGAGAGTCAGGCACTGTGTTAAACTAACAAGTGGTTCTTCGCTTTGCTGTCACTAAGACGGAAACTCTGAAACACACTACAATCCATTAAAAAAGACAGGGCTCTGTTTCTTCTAAGTCTACTTGAAAGACAGACAATTTGTGATTATAGCTTCTTACTGAGCCAACTCATCCATTCATTTATGTGAGCAATGTAAGGTAGCAGCAGCCTCCAAGCCCAGGCAAGAGCTAACCATGTAGTGGCTTCCTGATATATTCAATCTTCCTAAGGCCAGCACAACTTCCATCTCACAAGTGGATGCATACAAATGCTAACAATGTCACTCTATTTCACCTGTGTGCTCTCTGAAAAAGTCACTGCCACACTAATGGCACTCGGGTGCTCATTTGGGCCTCAATTACACAGGTTAGTACTTGTTCAATAAGTAGACAGAATTTTATCTTTAAAAAAAAACAAAACAAAACAAAACAAAAACAAAAACTTTATCCAGCCAGGTGTGGTGGCACATGATTTTAATTCCAGCACCCAGGAGGCAGAAGCAAGTGGATCTCTGAGTTTGAGGCCAGCCTCGTCTACAGAGTGAGTTCCAGGACAACCAATGCCACACAGAGAAACCCTGTCTAAAGAAAAAAACAAAAAAGATGTCTTTTTTTAAAATCTCAAGTATATTGGCATTTTGCACGCAGGCACTCATGCGTACCAGTGTACCACATGTTACATGGCTCCTGGAAGCCAGAAAAGGACACTGGATCTCCTAGGACTGGAGTTACAGACAGTTGTAAACTGCCCTGTGAGTGCTGGGACTTGAACCAGTGCTTTAAACCACTGAGCCATCTTTCCAGTCCCCAAATTTTATCTTTATTTTCCCAAACCTAGAAGCTACTTTTAATTTCGTCTTGAAGATAAGCAAATTTATCAAATATTTTGTTATAAAGCCTGAAAAAAAAACACATTGTTTCATAACTAAAAGGGTTTTTAAATGATTTAAAATCAGTTTTAAATTAACAAACATGTATCGTTTGTTAAATCCTATCCTACACATATTCATGTGGGTGTGTGTGTGTGTGTGTGTGTGTGTGTGTGTGTGTGTGTGTGTATGGTGCTGGTATGCTGGTATGTACAATTCAGACCTCCCTCATGAGCAGTATGTTTATATCACTTTTGTATTACATATAACACTGTGATTATATAAAAAGTCCTTACTTTAGATAGGTACTAGAGTGTCCATGAATGCAACATGGTCAAAGGTGTAGGCACACAACATGAGAAATTGGTTTTCTTTCTTTGCATCTATTTCATGAGCTTTATGAGAGGGAGTATAAAAGAGCTTTTTGATTCATATTCTCCTCACACTTCTTTCAGCTTTTGAAAGTAAAATTCCAATGGGATTCTTTAGCACCATAGGACATCAGGGCTTTTATGTATTTGAGAAATACAAGATGCAAAATATAATGAAGATGAAATACAATACCCAGTGCTTGTGATTAAGTGGTGCGTGTGTGTCTGTGTGTGTGTGTCTGTATGAGTGTGTGTGTCTGTATGTATATGTGCGTCTGTGTGTCTTTGTGTGTGTGTCTTTGTGTGTGTGTGTGTCTGTGCCTCTGTGTTGAGTTTGCGCATGCGCGTTTGCACTCTGCAGTACTAGAGGCTGAACTCAAGGCTTCAAGTACTAGGTCAGTACACCACTATTGAGCTACATTCCCAGCACAAGTGTTACATGTACTTTTAAATACAACAAAAATGGCCTAATTTCTTTCTGCTGTTTTAAACTTGTAAAGTTCAAAATGATGACATTTCAGAAGGGGCAAGGAATCTATCCCATTTCACTGCTAAGTCTTAAGAAACTGTACCTTTTACAAAACTAATAGGTAACTATAGACAGAACAAGAAAACAAACTAATGGAACCAAACATTGCTGGCACATTACAGAACAAAAGCAGCTTCTGCCATATTACCCACCCTGCTGGTTGCTAGCAAAAGCTTCTCCAAGTATCTCAGCCACTCAAAAATAAACTCAGCCTTCTGAACTTCGCCTAGCTGACTGACTGCTTCTTCATTGAGCAGCAGGCTATGAGCTAATTCCATTCCTTGCAGCAGATTCTCTTAGCTGGTCACGGGTCTTCTCATTTATAAACACAGTCAATATACCCAAGGACAAAAAACCTGCAATGGAAAAACAACACACTTTGAAAGGTGAGTAGAAGAAAGGCAAGCAGAATGCTGGAAATTTCTACAAGAAGTAAAAGCATAGCTAAATATATCTTTAGAAGTGCTGCAGGGTGAATCCCAGAAAGGTCCCAGCAGTAAGTTCCAGTTAGCTGACCCAAATTCATTTTCCCATTCAGTATCTATTTTCAAAAGGACAGACAGGCCAAAGAGGGCAGATTGTCAACAGGCAAAAACAAAACAAAATCGCTAAAACCAAGAGATAATACACTTAAGCTCTCCAAGTTTCAGGGTCAACTGAGGTTAGATTTTCAGTATTCAGTGCATCCGAAATACATTTTTATTAAAATATGCCATAGATAATTTAACAAGTAACCAAATAGCTAGCCATCCTACTAAAATCCTGTAGGCAAACTGACCACTTCCCTACTCTGATTTGGATTGTCTGCTCTTGTCCAATCAATTACCACCTGCAGCTTGAGGCATTTTAGGACCACCCATCTCCACCACCAGAGTCAGCTTATTGGAGTATGGTTGTTTCTGATGGCTCATGGCGGGGGTGGGGGGGTAAGGGGGGTGGGAGGGGGTGGGGGAGTAGGGGGGTGGTGGTGGGGGTATTTCTCCAGAACTATAAAGCACAGCTAACATCTGTGTGTGACCCAGACCCAGCATTAGCGGCATCTTGGCATACCAAGCCTTTCTAGATGGCTCACCACATACAGAAATTCACACTAAATTTAACAGGTGACATAGCATGGGATGGCTTTATTTCTAAGGAGTTTGTACTTAAGGATGTTACAGTAATGTATTTTTAAATGATCAACTCAAATGTAAAATATGGCAAAATGTTAAGTAGTGGATATGAGAGGGATCATTTAGCTAGTCTATATTTTTTGTTATTTTAAAAAGATTACAAACAAAATGCAGAAAAATTATTCAAGTAATTTTTAAGAGCTGTCTACAAAATAAATACACAATACTATTTGAGGGTCAGAGAGATAGCTCAACAAGTAATTTGCCACCAAACCTGACAGCTTAATTTCAGTTCCTTGAAAAGAGAAAACTGACTCCTGCAAGTTGTCCTCTGACTTCTACACACACACACACACACACACACACACACACACACACCAAATAAATTAATTCTACTAAAAATACTACTACTGTAGTAGGGTGTGGTGGTACACACCTTAGATCCCAGCACTTGGGAGGCAGAGGCTGGCAGATCTCCAAGAATTCAAGGGCAGCCTGGTCTACAGAGAAAGTTCCCAGACAGCCAGGGCCGCAATACAGAGAAACCCGGTGTCAAAACCAAAACAATACAAAAACAAAAAATACTACTACTCCAGTGTGAGGATGCAAATCTCTAGTCCAGCTACTGAGAGAGGATCATTTGAGCCTCATGCCTGCTTAGGAACACAGCAAGACCCCTTTTAGGAGACAAAGCCACAGCAGGCGAAACAGCAAGACCGCAAAGCAAGCCAGGACTTGGGAGGCAGAGGCAGGTGGATCTCTGTGTTCGAGGCCAGCCTGGTCTACAGAGGGAGTTCCAGGACAGCCAGGGCTGTTACACAGAGAAGCCCTGTTTGGGGGAAGGGCACAACACGGGGCAGGGATGGGAGTGGGGTGGGGGGTGGGGGGTGACGACATGAAGTACATGTGAAGGAACATACACAGATAAGTTCTCTAAGGCATCAAAACGAAATGAGTTCAATGTTTCACAAAAGTATAGACTGGCTGCTAATTAAAATATTAAAAATTAATGCCTCATGTTTCCCTAAGCAAAACTATTTTGATAGAAAAGCCGGTAGGATATAGTAGAAAATCAGGTGTCTTCTTCCTTCCTCAGTGCTTCCTACCAGACCACCACAGTTCCCAGGTATCTGAAAAGCCAGCGAAAAGACTCCGCACTTTTTCTTACTTATATCAGCTGCTACAGAACCATGTCTAGACTTCAGGACATATCCTTGATCAAAAAATCACCTCTGTCCAGCTATAAAACTGTCTTCTCACATCAGTGGCTTCTTCCCAATCAGTTCTGCCAACATGCCTAATGTTGTCCATAGCATGGCACCTAGAGTCATTTTGGAAGTGTTACTTTTAAGGGGCAAAGAACAAGACAAAAATCAAGGCACGGTGCTGTGGTTAGTAACCCCACTCCTTGGGAAGTGAGGCAGTAGTTAAGGATTATCTACCCTTAGATACACAGCTATATTGAACTACCCTGGACTTTGTGAAATCCTGTTTCCAAACAAACAAACTAAAAAGAACAATAAAACAATGCTGCTAAAATGTTTACAGAAGTAACATGAATTCTAGCTCTTGCTTAAAAAGCTCTTCTGTTGGTTAAATTAAATGGGGCTGTTGAAGTGGCTCAGTGGCTAGTAAATCTGCTACACAGTGTGATGATGGTCAGTTAGGAGCCCAGACCTATCCTTGTAAATGGGGGTGGCCTGGCGACCTGCCTATCATCCCAGCATTTGGGAGGGAGAAATGTGATCCTTGGAGCAAAGCTGGCTAGCCAGACTAACCATATGAGGAACTCTGGGTTCACTGACACACTGTGCCTCAGTGAATAGGGTAAGTCAAATTTCAGCTTCACGGGCATGCTCAGGCATTTGCCTGAACAGCCCGTTCACACATGTTCCCCAGCCCCAAACATGCTTATAATACATGCACACCACACACACAAGGAAAAAGACTTATCGAAACAAACTGGCTAAAATATCCCCAATTAATGCTAGAACTTGGGAATGTTAGAGGAATACATTGTTAGCAGAAACCTACTAAGCATACAGTCCTTTTGTCCTCCACATCTGTGACTTAGAGGGAAAAATAACCTCAGTGCACAGAGAAAAAAATGTTCTTGTAATCACCAGGGCAAGTGACAATCTTAAGAATCAAATTACCCTGTCATCAGGAGGCTGACAGAGCTGCTGAGAAGACGATTTTCCTCCTCAGACAGCAGCAATATTGTGGTGTAAAATGATCTATCAAGAAGCAAAAATGGCCAATACAATGTGATAATAAATAATTCAGCGAAAAAGCTCGAGCTCCAAAGCAGGGCACAAAGTTCTCACTAATGCCTCCCTCCCATGCAGCCCTCATATACACCAACCACTCTTAAAAGCAGCAGCCATTCCCAGCGGGCTCACCTTTCCACTGCACCTGAGATCCGCACTCCAGCACTCTGAAGGTGAGAGGTGAGCACACTGTGCAGACAGAGGCTCTGGCCTGAAGTCTGGCTTTACGAAGATGGCTGCAGAGTCAGTGTTGTCTCCTTTAAACTGTAACTCAGCCACACCCTACATACACTGAGGAACTTTCCTAATTCCTCTTCTACTCATATTTCTGTTGTGATTAAGAACTGATTTATCTACTGAAAGTGAACACATGTTTAGACACATACTTCCTTTCTTTAGGTGTAGTCCTGCTCTATGCTACCTAAGCTAGCCTTTAACTTGCAATCCTCCTACTTTAGCCTCTTGAGTAGCATGGATGATAGCCGATAGCACCTCACCTAGTTGGGATCTATTTTTCCAAGTACAGTTAATAGTCGCTTGAAGAAACCGACTTAATAAAATTGCTGCTTCAACTCTAATGCCTACAGCAATTTTAACAGTTGCTAATATTATTTGATCACTTACTACGGCGAAAGATATTCCTTGCATAAACCTTAAAAATGTTGATGATGTGGCTATTTTTTCAAACAGTTATTAGTTTTTAAGTCTGTGTGGACATATGAATGCCTGTGGAGGCCACAGATATTAGATCCCTTGGAGCTAGAGTTATGGGTGGCTGTAGCTACCTGAAGTGGGTGCTGGAAACTAAACTAGGGTCCTCTGCAGGAGCAGTATGCACTCTTAACCACCAATCCATCTCCCCCACCCCTTGCTTTTTCTGAGAACTGAACTTGGGCCCTCTGCAAGAACAGCACACACTCTTAATTAAGCACAAAGCCAGCTTTCTAGCCCTTGGAGTAGTTATTTTTATTGCCTCTCTTAACAAATGAGAAAACTCAGGTGGAAAATCGGTAGCTTTCCTAAATACACACATACTCTTTTTAGTTGTTTTGGTCTCTTAAAACTATTTTGAGAGAAAGTAAAATGATGACAAGGAGAATATCAGCCACAAGATAAATGCACTGGATTGGCCTGTCAGTGTTTTCCCTAGGGAATAGGAATCACCTACATGGAATGGAACCGAGTACAGAAGGGACTGAGTCTTGCATGACACTTGGGATTAAATTTCAAACACTTTCCTCACTACTCAAAAGGTACCATAAAAGCTTCAGGTCAACCTCTGCCTTTAGTTTCTCTGGTTTTGTTAGCAGGACCTCCCGAGGCACACAAGGCATTAGCTAGGGCTTTGCCAGGAAGAGAGAAATGAGGTGCTTTCTTCTTGACTGTGTGTTGAGGTACTGAGTAACTGTGCCTCACTGAGGAAAAGTGCAAAAAATGCCAATAAAAGAGACCCTAAAAGCCACGAGGCAGAATATTATCATGTGTACTCTGTGTAAATTTGCCAAGGGGTATGACCCTGACACTTCAAACAATTTATTTGTGTTGGTTTTGAGACAGGGTGGCCTTGAACTCCTGCTCACCTAAAGTTTCAGTCAATTTCTGAGTGGTTTCTAAGAAGGGCTTGCAGAGGTGGAAGATCTGAGGATACTGCTAAGGCAGCTGCTATAAAAGAGATGGAGACAGGAGGATGAGGAGTTCAAGGTTACACTTAGTCACACAGACTTTGAGACCAACCTGGGCTACAGAAGAACTTGTCTCAAAACCATGAGTGAGTAAATAAACTGTGTGTGCTTAGATATAGTCAGAAGCTGTCAATAGACAGCTGCAATTGGTTTTGTTTTGCAATCAAAGAATGGCAGCAACAACTTTAGACCCACCACACCTACTACAGGTCTGTACTATTCCTGCTTGCTAGGTGCCAAGGTTTGAACCTAGTGTCTCAAGCATGCTAGGCAAGCACTTTAT